GAGGCAGATGCACAGTTGGTATACTTGGAGCAGCAGGGTATCATTCATGGCATCATCTCAGAGGACTCCGACTTGCTTGTGTTTGGCGCCAAACGCCTGCTGTCCAAGCTTGATCAACATGGTGACTGCATTGAGATCGATCGCGCGGACTTCGGGGCTTGTCGGGACGTCAGCCTGATAGGATGGTCGGATGATGACTTTCGACGCATGTGCATTCTCGCCGGCTGCGACTATTTGGCCAATATTCCTCGGATGGGTCTGAAGACGGCCCACCAGAGCATACGGAGGTACAAAAATGTTGAGAAAGCCGTGCGGATGCTCCAGTTTGATGGCCAGTATCACGTTCCTGCGGACTACTTGAAGAGCTTCAAGGAAGCGGAGCTTACTTTCCTCTATCAGCGAGTCTATTGCCCCAAGGCTCAAAAGCTGGTTACGCTCACAGTACCTGAAAATGATGTCAATCTAGAAGAGTTGACTTTCATCGGCGGTGACGTGGAGCCCGAGGTCGCGGTGGGAGTGGCTCAGGGGGACCTGGATCCAGCAACCAAGCAACCTCTGGTATTGAAGCCGCCAGCTGCAGCGAAATTTACTGAGAAACGATTCACAAACACCTTGCAACGTCGACAAACACTCGGATCAGCGGCCGAGTTGAAGCCCAAGAAACCCATCAATTCTTTCTTCACCCCAAGACGTACGCCGCTAGCTGAGCTCGACCCGAATAGCCTCACGCCTTCCCCAAGCCAGCAACGGCTCCTCGAGCGTCATGCTAATACTTCTTGGGAGAGTAGTTCCGTTCCCACGCAGCCAACCTTGATGAGGTTGGCCTCCTCTGCTACGTCGAGCAGATTCTCTAGTCCCTTGGCGAGAAGTATCGAGCGGGACTCTTTTAATCCTCACGCCTTGAGACTTTCTGCTCTGCAACCCTCTAAGCGACAGCGCCTCTGTTCAGATATAGATGAGGGACAGTTACCAAGTGCATCTACTTGTCGCAGTCGATTCTTCACAAACAGTACTGACGAGTCTAGTCCGAGCGGGCTTAAGATTAAGCGTACTAAAAAGGCTCGGAAACACTCTTTGGACGTCTTCTCAGATGATTCCGTAGAGGATATGATGTCTCAGATTCCGGATCCTGCCGAGACACCTGCGAAAGATAGAATCGATGAGTACCAAGACGCTGGGCCAAGTCAACCCCTCGACGCATCAAATGTACTCCCGCAATCTATGGAAGCTAATGTCGAGGATCACCCCGATCAGGGTTTGGAGCAGAAGCAAGAAGCACCATCAGATTCCATCCAAGTTACTGAGGGCAACCCCAAGGCTGTCAGTTTGGAGTCCAATCCGGTGGAGTTTCAGAAAGTACTCGACTATCACATCGAGAAGCAAAACTCAGGGCTGCTTTCGAGGTTTGCATTCCCTCGGAGAGATAGCAGCGTTCGCTCGGAGAGCGTCACTCGGACAGAATCCAATGCACGGCCCATTCCAACTATCTCCTTCTCGAAATCGAAATCACCAATGGACCTGAGAACCAGAAGTCCACGGACGCCGCCTAGACGTGGACGGACAACACCCTTGCAACGACTGGGGCAAAGTGCCCTGGCTAGGTCTCGATCTCTCAACCATCTTTCGTCGTCTCTCGCCGCCTTTCGGGCATCAAAAGTCTCGCTTACTTCAGCTGAGCCCAGCAACAGTAGTCCAGGCAGCACCCAGAATGTTATGCCAACCTGTCATGGGAGTGAAGACATGATCATTCCGGATAGCGAAGACGATGAAGAAGACGACTTGGAAGAACCCGACGGTAATGCCAATGGAGGCTTGCCGACCCCAGTCGTTATTGACCTCAAGCGATTCTCCTTTGTAGGTTGAGACAAACTCTTGGAGTGCTTGGGGGACAGTCGACTTATCATTATCATTATAGGAGTTCTTGGGAGTATTGTTAATTTTGTGTATCATGCATGGCATTGGGTTGGTGACTTGACATACCGTACAGTACAGTACATGACAGAGAGGTGCTTGGACGTATAAATTATAAGATCTACATGGGATTAACCGTATACCTCTTAGGTGCAAGATATTTGGCTAGACTATGACATAAGTGTGTGAGGTTCCATGGAAAAGTTGGAGGCTGGGGAGTGGGCACGTGCCGATAAGATGATCGATGGCTTTAGCGCGATCAGTGGAGTCTGGGCGGATCCAATGGGGCGAGATGACGGCGGGCGGTGTGGACTGGTTACCGGGGAACGGACGCGGTAAACAAACGGGCAAGTAGCAGGCAGTGGCCCAGCCTCCCGCTTTTGGCCCTTCTTCGGGCTGTAGACTGCATACATACAGTACAGTACATCGTACCTATCTTCCCAGCCTCCCTCATTATTCCTCTTTCCAATCCAGCTTCATTGACTATTCTGGCGCGTCAAGGCCCAATTCTGTCGGGTGGACTCAACCTTGGAAACCTGCTCCAGCTGAGAATCTTACTCTCTCCCCCCCCCTTCCTCTCTCCTGCCTGCACTCACTCTCCTTTCCCCATTCCCTTACCCTCCACTTGCCTGTTTTTGGCAGACATCCAGTCCCTCCACTCTAGCCCACCCAGCCCAGTTGGCGACTCTCTTTGTACAATTCTAACCACCATTATCCACAATTCAGGGCTATCCGTGGGACTTTCCAGTCATACATTCTTTGGATCTCCATCTTGATAACGGTCCCGGCCCGTCGTCGCATTGCAACTCCTGTGCTCAACATACCGGGCAGTCGCTGCATTCCTCCCACAGATATTGCTATATCTCCTCGGCGCTGAGAGCACGAGTCCCGACATCATCACTCAAAGCTCACTTCTCTTGAAGGAGGCGAGCATCTAACCATACTTGATCTGTCCGTTGGGTGGTAGTGTCGTAAGAGGTGCGCAGCAACCGGCGCAGACTCCTTCTCGGGGTTCCGAGAAGTGAGTCCTGAATTAGAGACACGGGGAGACAACGCCTGGACAACTCAAGATGCCTTCTAAAATCGGTGCCCGGCTAGCCCGTACGTGTCTCGCTTCTCACTTCGAAAAGATGTATGAAAATATTGACGCTTGACCCTGCAGGGCTGCTACCAATGATCGGTTACCACCACGTGCTAATGATTATCATTGCGGTCGCCATCATTCTTCTATGTCAGTAATTCTCCGACCCCCCCGTGCTCCGGAATGCGACTAACATTGATCAGCCCTATTATTGGCCGGATGCTCGTCGTCTTCACCCCAGATTCCTAGCATATTCCTGATATCACTATACTACGAACGATACTCGCCGACATTCAATCTAGCGCAGGTAGATCCGGGCGTGGTTACAGCGACGGCGAACATAGTAGGAGGAGCTGAAATGGAAGTCCGTGTGGGCTACTTCGGTATTTGCGTGCAGCCAGATGCAGGATCATACATCTGCAATGCCAATGCGACCGCCTTGGCTGAGATTGTCACGGTCGATCAAGACCCTCTGAACCTGATTTGGGTAGCGTCAACGTTCAAAGATGCTGTTGTGTTTCCATATCTACTGTACGTTCTCTCTTAGGTTTTCGTCTTGTGTGTGTCTTGCTAACTCGCGATAGCATCATCGCCGTCATCCTCGCCTTCTTCTGTTTTATCCTGCTGGCCACCTTCCCCGGATGGCACGACGAGCTCGATGCTAGTGGTTCCGAAGTCGAAGCCAAGCCATTTCCTTCACGACCTGTCTCGCAAGCCGCCCTCGCTCTCATCTTTGTCGCGTCGGTCTTCGTCCTCGTCTCCGTTCTCTGGCAACATACCGCATCCGTCGCCGCGAGCACCATCGCCCAGGACATGGGCAACGGTAGCGTGAAGAGTGGTGTTGGTACATCTGCCATGGTGCTAGGCTGGTTTGGATTCGGCCTCATGGTGGTGGTGACGATAGGTCTTCTCGTCATGATTCTCAGCATCAGCCTCATCAGACAATTGACGGACGAACCATAGCCACGTTGACATGCCAACTTAAACCCTCGTCACTTTTTTCATTGCACTTTGATTCCCCACTTTGATTTTCAACGCTACGCACTCCCCCTGCATTCGACACGCCCGTCTTCTTGCGATAAACGCGCCCCAGAGACGGCATATACAACGAGCAGCACGTGAATAATGATGCATATTGACATTTGGAACATGAAATTTTTCTCTCTGGCTTTTTATATGAGTTTATGGATACGGACATTTGGACAAGGGAATACGAGATACGGTTACGGTTTTTCATTTTGTTTATTTAAAGGAGTCATCACGAAGAAAGAAAATGCCTAATGAACAAGATGCGGCCAAACAACAGATCAAGTCGGCCGTTCAGTCTTCTTGAGGTTAGTTTAGCTCACCTCATCAGAAACGGATCAATCCACTCCTCGCAAACTTGTTTCGTCCGCTTTCCTCCCACCCTGTATAAGCTTCGGGGAGATCTTGTTGGCCTCGATGCTTGTTTTCGCTTTGTCATTGGCCTTGTATAACACCCTTGTTAAGGTTGCTTCGCGTTCTCTTGTTTGTGGCTGCGGAGGGGATATTAGGTGGATCTGGGTTGTTAATAGTTCTGTTATTGTCTTGTCTTCTAGATCATATATTTGTTGTTGATTTTGTGCTTGCTGCTGAGGAGACTTAATCGACGTAAAGAACTCCTACTGATACTTGAGACACATCACTTGCATCGTCTTCGCCCTTGTCCGTATCATTGGTTGCAAATTCGAGCAGCTCATGCCCTGGATGCAACTATCCAATAGAGCCGCATCCCTCGATTCAAAAGCTTTCGACCAGGATCTCCGTGAGATTCCTACAATACAAAGATCCCAATGGGAAATATAAGAGTACTACTTGGAACCTGTCACATGACATGGTATTGTGATCACCAGCGTCTACTAGGTAATTTCATGCTAAGAGAACATCTTCACTTCGGTCCACAGACACGAACAAATCAAGACGACTGCTGGGGTTACGCAAATGATAGAGCGCCCCTCATACTGTCATTTTTTTTTTTTTTTTTTTCGTTTAGTAATTCATCACCGGCGGACCACCGCCTGGTCCGGGCTTTTCCTCATGACTGCCTTCATACCCACCGCCGTAATCGTCTAGGGACCGATAGCCCGGCGGACCATTATCACGGCCCCCACGGCCTCGACCGCCACCACCACCACCACGGTTGCCGCCGCGGTTCTGATGGTGGCCGCCCCTGCCTCGCCCTGCAGCGCCGCGGCCGCGGCCCCGGAACGCGTTACCCCGGCGCGGGGGCCCGTCGTCATGGTGATGGCGGCCTCCGTTGCGCATGGCATTCGGATGCGGCTGTCTTGCGTGGTGGGGGTGGTGGGAGTGGTGGTGTGAGGCAGCAGAAGCAGCAGCGCCGTCATACGTGGCGGGCTGCTCCGCGTGCGGCGGGTAGAGGATCTCTTCGTTGCGCTCCTGCTGGTGCCGGCGTTTGTTGTTCTTGTTGAGGAACTGGCTCTCCCACTCGCCCTCGTTGGGGTTCTCCTCCTCGACGCGCAGGACGACCTTCTCGCCGACGACGGTCTCCATGGTGAGCGCCTTGTCCGCGGGGACGGGGTGCCAGCTCTGGATCTTGCCGGCGTCGATGGGGCGCGCGCCCTTGCGCACCGCCAGCACCACGACGGGCTGCGGGTTCTCGGTGTAGTACTTCGCGGTCGCGGGGACGGGCGCCATCCGCGCGGCCCACACGCGGTTCTCGAAACACGCCGTGCCCGTGATCTGCCAGCTCAGCTTCTTGCCGATGCCGCCGACCTTGTCCAGAATCGACCGTGGCGCCGGCCGCGGCGTGATTAGGATACTGTTGGCCATGTACTTCAGATCGTTGGAGTCCGCCAGCCCGTAGGGGAGCATCGGCGTTAGTACTTCGCGGATCAGCCGGCTCGAGTCAGCGTTCGAGATCAGGTAGCCTGTGTAGAAGATGGTGCGCTTGATGCGCAGTCGACCGTACGGTGACTTGGCCTTGGTGAGTGACGGAGTGCGGGTGGTGAGGTTGTGGGAGTTGATCATGCGCTGCACTTCAGCGGTCTCCAATACGGGGTCGAGATACATCGATCCTTCGGCTACCTGGATGACTTCCGACGTGATCGGCTTTCTCGGGCTGGGGCCCTGCGCAGTCTGGAACTTGCGGTTCAGCTGCTCGAAGTAGTCCCGGAAGCCTTTGGCACTGGCAGACGGTCAGACGCTCCGGCAATATGAAGGAGCGAAGATGCAAAAAGGAAAAACAACTCAAATATGGAAGACCTACTGCTTCGGGCGATCTTCATAGATGCGAAGATCTTCAGCCTGCTCGTAAGTGAGGATAAGGTCTTCCAGGAAAGTCTGCTTGAATTCCATCGTGCTGGCAAAGCGTTGATTCCTCGGACCAACTTCCGGCTTGAGGCATATTAGATCAAACTCCAGCTTCTTACTGTTCACCATCCGTTTGATGATCTCCGAGAATCCACTCTCACTGCGACCCGTTAGAAGCACCGTCAACGCGTCTTTCTGCTCCATGCTTAATTTCACGAGTTGCACCTAAGGGGAACGTATCAGCCAAATTGCTGTAGTTCATGTATCGGTTCTTGTGATGGAAGGCCACACAATCTGTTCGTTCCACCACCCCTCCCACGCGCGCGGTTCCTCCTTCTCGATACCTTCTCCGGTAGCCGACAATAGGTTCGGGTCATGCCACCAACCGCCGTTCGCGAAGCTCTCATAGGCTTGAAGAAACCCGATCGTCGGGCCATTCCAGAGTTGCGGATTCGGAAGCGGGCTCAGGAATACTGGAAAGCATTTAGAATGCGAGGTGGATCGGACGAAGTCGCATGGCGACGGGTGCATTCTTACATGTGTTGTCGAAGTCGTATATGTGAATAGACCTGACCTGCGGTACTGCTGTAGCGCCAAGAACAGACGAAATTATCAGCCACCCCCAGCGCTATGATATTGTGGAAGCGAGATCCTCACCTGGTAGTTCTTTGTTGGTGATGGACCACCGTCTTAGACTGGTGATGGTGCGCGCGGGCGCGCTCGCGCTCTGAGCGTGATTTCTCATTTTGGAAGCGTTCTCTGCGACTACGGACCTTGCAGATCTCATTACCTTCAGCATGAGTGGGTTGCGACAGAAATTCGAGGGTTCATATAGGAAAACAGAGATCCATATGGCCACAGCTACTGTGAGTCAATGCGAGGTTTCACCGCGGAGATTTCGCCGCATATCACGGAAGGCCGCCGCCGCAAAGAGGCGTTGTGGTGGGCAGTTTCGATGGCTCCGGCAGGCGGTGGGGACTCGATCAGTCTTTGCGACGATGTATCTGCCAGTCATATTCCTCGCCATTCTAAGCGGTGAGATGGACTGCAATGGATGACGTTGGTTCGTAGGCGGTCAGCAATTCCTCGTCCTCTTTGATCTGGAAACTTGACGAACAAAACATTCCTACCCTGTTTTTTGCCTTCATCTTGTCCAATCGTCCACCCGTACAGGAACCAATCTTTTGATGTGTGAGCTGGTGTAACTTTCCATGTCCGATGATGATGGCATACGGCAGGCAATCTTGCAACGAACGCTCCAAGAGGTAGCACAAGAGGAAAGTGAGAATGAGGCAACTCCGTGCGTCATCTGTCTCGAACCGGTCTCCGAAGCCGCCATCGCGGTGCCCTGCAAGCATGCGAACTTCGACTTTCTGTGTCTGGTGAGCTGGCTGGAGCAGCGCCGGAACTGCCCGCTCTGTATGTACCTCACGTACCTGTGAATATCACTTCGTCGAATCTGCGAGGGTCTTCAGCTAACACCAAATTCAAGGCAAGAGCGACGTCTCCGCAGTCCGATACCACCTCGAAAGCCCCCAAGGACCAAAGATCTATCACCTTCCACCTGCCCCGCCAGCGAACCCCAACACATCCTCGTCCCATCCTCTCGCATCACCCTTCCACCATCACCCACCCCGTCGCCCGCGCCGCGCTCGAAGCCCCGCGAGTCGACTCCCGCACCAAGCCCAACCGAGCGACGACCCCCTCCGCCGACGCCAACACATCTATCGCCACCAACTCTACTCCCTGCGCGTCGGCTCCAACCGTCTCTCTCAATACCGCGAGCTCACGCCCGAGCGCTTCAACCGCGAGGAGGAGTTGGTCTCGCGCGCGCGCAAATGGATCCGGCGCGAACTCAAAGTGTTCGCCTTCCTGAACCCTTCCGCCGCGGGACCCGCCGCGGGGACTGGTAGCAGTGCTGGCGACTTGCGCTCGACAACGACGCAGCGACAGCAGCCCGCACCTCCTTTACGAGCTGGTCAGCAGCGACTCGAGAACCGCCGCGGTAATAATGCCGAGTTCCTCCTCGAGTACATCATCGCGATCCTCCGCACGGTCGATATCAAGGGCAGCGCGGGCCAGGCGGAAGAACTCCTCCGGGATTTTTTGGGGAGGGAGAATGCGCGGCTGTTTCTGCATGAGCTGCAGGCTTGGTTGCGGAGTCCGTATACCTCGCTGGAGGACTGGGATCGGCACGTGCAGTATGAGGATGTGTCGCGGCGTGAGGAAGCATCGTCTGCGCAGGCGCTGGCCGAGGGCGCCTCGGCGTCGACGCCGGCTTATCGGGGTGGGAGTTCACATCATCATCGGGGAGGTGGGAGGGGAACAGGGCGGGGACGAGTGGCGAAGCCGGCGTATTCGCGGAGGCAGCCGTATCAGCGCGGAAGCCAGGAGCAGCAGGCCCGGAGGATACAATATGCTCGGGAGCGTTATATACCAGACTAAGATAGAGCAGACTGTGGGTTTTGCTGCGCTGTCCGCAGCTATGAATTATCTTGCATATACTATGAATGGTTGGTGCATGCTATAGACAAATGTATAAATCATACGACTGGTATCTTGGATGATGCAAACGAGAAGAATACGCTAGCAGGGTTCATGGCTCGTGATGTTTAAGTGCTGATTTCTAACGTCGCCTGCCGAAGCGCCCGCCGCCTCGTCCCTTGAAGTTCTTGTTTCGGATTTTCAAGGACCGGTAGTTGGCGTGCGCTTGCGGATTGACCTTGCGTGCGCGCGGCTGCTTGGGCTCGGTGTCCTTTGCCTGCGTCTGAGGTCGTACGGGTGGTTTCTCCGGAGGCTCTGTTGCTGGCGGTTTGCCTGCCGCGATAGCCTCCTTCATCTTCTCGGAGAAGCTCTTGCTCTTCCCTCGAGGCTGGGGTCCTTCGTCATAGTCCGGGTCGAAGTCGGACAGGTCCGGTTCTGACATGGTGTGTAGCGAATCGAGGTCGTCCAAGTCAGGAACCTCGGTATGGCTCCGGTCCAGAGGGCCCGAGGCTACGAGCTGCTGAGTTTCGCGGACGGCGGTGACTCCCCCATCAGGGCCATCATCCTCCTCTCCCTCCTCCTCGTCCTCTTCATCCGAAAAGGACGGCAGTTCGGGCGCAGACTGCCTCGAAGTTGCAACCACCGGCTTCATGCGCACCTTGCGGGTGGTCCGCTTCTGGCCCTTCTTCTTCCAGACCGGAGCGCCCTCGTTCTCAGCCGCCGCGGCCTGGCTATCGGCCACCTGGGCGTCCATCATCGCCGCCTGCTCGGCCTCGATCTCTCGTAGGACATCCATGTCATCCTCCATCTGCTCCTCTTCCATATCCCGCAAGCCCTTCATCAAAGCCGAGAGGCCCTTCCCGACGAACTGGGGTCGTTTCCGCGTGGCCATCGGACTCAATCCACCCGTGATAGTTGAGGTATCGTACCGTCCCGACGTTGACCGGCGCAGGAACGAGGGAGTCTCAGACCCGTTCGGCTCTTCCACGGCCGCCACCGAAGCGCCCTCTGCCACCTCTCCCGCCACCGCTATTCCTGCTCCTGCTGCCGCTGTCCCCTTATTAGACCCATCATCCATCATCGTCGCATACCGCCACGTTGTGGGCGTAGCGAACAGCGTCGACAGCATCCACTTCTTCCCCGACGAAGTCGGAGTCCTTCCCAGCCTTGAACTCTCATCATCATCCTCACTGTCCTCAACTCCTTCCCGTGCCGCCTCCTCCCCCTCCTCCTCCGCAATCGTATCCATCATCGTCCCCCTCTTCATCTTCTGGGTTTTTGTCCGTCGCGACGGCGTCCGCACATTCGCATCCTTCAGACTCGCGAGCCTCGTCGCCGACGGCGTCGCCGTACTCCCGCCGGACTCCGACAGGAGATCGAAGAGCCCCAGCGCCTTGCCGTCGCGCTGGGGCGTCGGCCCGATCGCCGCCTTCAAAGGCGACAGGTGTGTGCTCGGGCTGAAGAGCCGTCGCAGCACCGACGGCGAGTCGTACGGATCGACCTCTGCAGGATGGGAGGTCGTCTTTCGGGATGGTGTCTCGAAGGCTCCGGCTGCTCCGCCATTGTCGGTCTTCTTCCGTGGGGTGGTGGTGAGGAGGTTGTCCGATGGCCCATGCGGGGAGGCGTGTTTGCGTTTCTTTTTGTCGTGTCGGGCGTTATCTGGTGGTCTGGAGGGGTTGCTGGTTGAGGATGTTTCGAGGGCTTTGAGGCGGGAGTATTCTTTGTATTTGGCGGCTATGGCCCCAAAAAAAAAGGGGGGGCGTTAGCTGGGCCTTTTTTTCTTTTTCGTTCTGGGGCAAAGGAGGGGGGGAGTGAAAGGGCTGCTTACCGATTTCAGGAACTTTCTTGATATCACTTCGATCGGCTTTTCTGCCGCCGTTGGCGTCGGCGAACGCTCGCTCCCATTCTTTGAGCTCCGCGCGTAGGTCGGCGGAGGAGGGGGTTGCTGTTGAGGATATTATGGCGGTGGCCATTATTGCATGTTGGTCGGAGCGAACGGGTCTGGTTCTATAGTGCCGTAGTCTGAAAGGGCAGAGTGGTTGTAAAGGTCTATGTCTGGGGAGAAGGAATTGCGAAGGCGTGGCGTGGTGAAGTAAAGCGTGGTGGTGGTGGTCTTGGTGGTCAGTAATCGTGGACCGGCTGTTGGGCCCGTCGCGTCCGCGAAAATCAATTAACGCGGGTTTGGGTTTGTGCAGGGCGGGCTGACGTAGCGTGTCTCGGTCTCGGTCTCGGTCTCGGTCCCCGGCTTTTCTTTTCCTTCTACTATTTGTTTATGGATCAAAGTCTATTCGTCTTTCTCGTCATGACTTGATTGGGTATTAGCTAAGTATACAAATTTAATCATGATCATTAATTCTATCTTGAAAGAGCAAGAAAACAACATCTATCACCAACTCGTCACACCACGACATCGATCAAACCCACCCCGCAACTGAGATTCAGGATGCACCACCTTCCCCTGCAGAAGCGTGTACTTGACGATGCCCGCGCAGTGCTCTGGCCGGATCCGGGCCAGCCAGATCATCTGCTCCTGCGCCTTCCGGTACACCAGCACATTGGCCGAGAACTTGTGGCCGCCGACATGCGAGACGAAGAAGATGCCCACGCCGCCGGGCCGCTCATCGTTCGCGTCGCGGTACAGTCCCAGCGGCCGCAGGTGTCGCTCCAGCTCCTTCTTGATCAGCGGGGCGGTGATCCCGCAGCGCGCGTCGCGCCGGCGGTGTGAGCAGAGCAGCACCACGTAGTCGTACTGGCATGGTCGCGGGGAGAGTTGCGAGGCGGGATCGTGGGCCACAAGGCCTTTGTTGGAGAGCGGGGCGTCGATGTATCGGTCTACGACCTCGCGGACATCGGCTTTGTGCACGGAGTCGAGGAAGGTGAAGGACGGGAGGAGGAGGATGGTGGTCCCGTTGTTTTCGTTTTCTTCCTCCTCGTGGTGGGACTGGAGATTCGAGGCCGAGATCATCATGCGCTAGTCTCCTGTTAGCCATCTCTCATTCGCACTCATCGGTCCTGGCTACATCAGAACGGAACATACCCCGTGCTTTGACTGGTTGGAGGAAGCATCAAACGCCTCCATGAGCGATCCCTTCTCGTTCTCGACATGTTCCGTCCAGTCCGACTTCCCTGTCGCGACTAGGACGTGCGTGTGGAATTCTTTGATGTGGCCGTACAGCGGCCGGGAGGTCTCGACCTTCACCTTCGACGGGAATTGTACCGTGCAGTCGGCGCAGTCTTGCTTGCAGTCGGGCCCGTCTTGCGTGGGATCCACGCTGGGGAAGATGTAGTCGTCGTTGCGAATCAGGCCGCCGCGCGACAGGAGGGACCGGAGCATCGTAGCTGGCGACGCTTGACGTTTGAGATAATGGTGATTTTTCGTAGGTTACTGATCTGCGAAGAGAAAGGGTATATCGTACGATGATTGACTGAACTGCTCGGACACGAGAGGGGAAAACAAAGAACCAATCTGACAGCCCTTTCCAGGGTGAATTGAATTCTTCGCTTTTCCTATATACTCCGCTGAGCTCGGAGACGGACTATCGCAAAACATCATCTCCGAGGCTTATCCCCGAGGGAGTTAGTCGAAATAGGCAACCATGATTGTTTCTATTCTGTCGATGCGTAGATTTAGACTTTGGGTAAGGTATGTCTCGGGAGCCCGAACTGTCAGACTGTAGGCTGCAGATGCACCTCCACTGTCATTGCCATAATGTGGCAATTTGAGTCGTGGGCCACACAGTTCGGTAGCTCATCCGGCGGACTATGATAGTTAATTCACTTGAATATTACAGCAAAGCATTTCTTGGTTGTTAGCAGTGCGGCCACTGGCTAATTTCGCGTCTCCGGCTCCATAACTCTATCGCCCTCAACTGAGCCGAGAAGACCGTTGACAATGCAACGCATTCAATTGATTGCACCAGCCCCTCTTCGAGACCGTGGAGTGGGACTCTGGCCCGTGTTTTGCTTGCCTTGCAGCTCTGGACCCTTCGGACCTCCTGGCCCCTAAACCCAGTTAGGCAAATCCTGGTTGTTCCTCCCCCAGTCTGGTTAAATTGCTGCGCATGCCTGGCGAATGTCTGAGAGAATGCGACTGAAACAATCAATCAACAATCCCGGAAGAGCCGACCGTAGGTTTAAGCGACGCGAGTTGCTACTGCTATGTCAAACCAAGCCGGAGGAAAATGGCGGCGGCGGCGCCTTTCTCGCTGAACGTTCTCTTACCCTGCTGGCTATTGCTATTCGGGGGCACAACCTACAGTCTGGTGTCTCAGTAATAAGAAGACGAAAAGACAATTCATTGTCCAGTATGTACATTGATGAAGAATTGTGTCTGCCTACGCGGTCGGCGATTGTTCTTGTTCTTGGAAAGGTGTGAAACCAGGCCCACCGGGCCAGGTTGCCCCATCTGGAGGCTATGGCCGGCAGTGCCCAACACGTAAGCCACCATCCACCAATTGTGTCCACGGTTAGTGTTCACTCGGAGAAGGAGGGGGAGGGAAACTGGAACTCACTCGCTCTGGCTGCGGCCCTCCACCCATTCCACCGTGGACCCCCAATACATTTTGGCGGTGCTGCGCATACCTACCTCCGTTTCTCATTTCCTTCTCATCCTTCTACACCGCGCAATCCACCCCCTCTTCTCTCCAATCATGGCTGATGTTCAGTTGAAATTGGCAGCTTCGGCTCCGATTTCTCAGCCAGAACAACAGCAGCTTCAGCAACAACAGCAACAACAGCAGCAGCAACAGCAGCAACAGCAGCAACAGCAGCAGCATCGAGTGCGCAAGCGACGCCGACGGACAATGGCGTGTATGCAGTGCCGCAGCAGAAAGCTCCGTTGCGACCGTGAATATCCCGTATGCGGACGTTGTCAGAAGAGCAAAACCCCAACCCGATGCACCTACGAGGATGGATTTCTCTGGCAGCAACCCAATACAGTTGCTTCGCCCGTTTTCTCCGAGAGAGGTCCCACAGCCACGACACAAATGGCCCAGACTGATCGGGCGACTGCCCACCCTACCCCGGACTCGGGGATAAGTAGTTTGCCGACTCGGCCTCAACCATCCTCCAGGGACTCACGTCCCGGCGAGGAGCGACGCGATAAGTTTCTAGAAACCGTCCTCGGCGCCCCCAAGGCCGCCGTCAACCAAGAACCGTATGCAAATACCAGCCTGCTGCACCGGCCGCGACAGGTCTTCGAGCCTCATCAGGTCAGTCAACCGCACCCTGCCGAGGACGACGAGGATCTGGCCTCGCCGACGCAGCAGCTCGATATCTCCCCGCGGATCATGATGCGAGGGCGAGAGACCAAGACTCGTTACAATGGCTCGGGCATATTTGCCAATCTGATAGCTCAGGTATGCCGCCCCGGTACCTCAACTCACGTCCGAGGGACAATCAATCCTACCATCTGATTGGCCCTGCCACAAGTCACTTATGTTGATTGCATGCTTTAGTTCCCCGACCTCAGGGCCTTTGCCGAAGAGATCAGGGTTGCCAGTCCGCATCTCTCGGCCTTGCGACCGGATCTCATCCGAGTTAAAAAGGGCCTCTGGAAGCGAAAACCGTTGAATGAGCCTTTCCCAATGCCCACCATGCAGTCATTAGTCACCATGCTTCCGGCTCGCGCCGTCGTCGACGAGTTGGTCTACTTGTATTGCATCTATATCGAGTCCACCCATCGTATCCTTCACATGCCTTCGTTCCTCGAGGAGCTGGAGCAGTTCTGGACCCAGCGGGAAAGCCCCGACATGACCTCGACCGTCTTTGTGGTTCAACTGCTCTTGGTACTGGCTTGTGCGTGGAATCTAGCGGACCTCAACACTCTTCAAATGAAGAATGAGGCGCCTATCACCTGCTATACGGCCATCGAATGGATTCTCCACGCAGAGAGGTGGATCGAAAATGCCAACTTCAAACGACCCGAGCTCGCTACCCTCCGTCTACAAACTCTACTCATCATTGCTCTGAATATCCATGGCATGAAACGCAGTCAGGCATGGCTTGCCACTGGGACCCTCGTCAAGCGGGCTATGATGGCGGGGTATCACCGCGACCCAAGTCGATATACCAAGATTTCCGCTTTCAGCATGGAGATGCGCCGACGAATGTGGGCTACCATCGTGGAACTCGACCTCCAAATCTCCTTAGAACGAGGCATGCCTCCTTCGGTGCAAGAAGACGACTATGACACCTTCCCAGCGTTGAATATCGATGATACAGAAATCAAGGACGATAGCATCGAGCTTCCGGACGAAAAGCCGCTGGATGTGATGACCGACTCGTCATTCCAGGCGGTGCTGACACAATCTCTTCCTTTGCGGTTGAAGGCCTGTGCCTTAATGCACTCTCCTCGAATTAGTTGTCGATACGAAGAGATCATGCGTCTGGATTGGGAATTGAATCGTCATCTTTCCAAGATTCCGGCATGGCCCACATCTGAAGTCGATGACTTCCATCGCACGTCGGAGCGCGTAATCTTGATGAGGGCCCTTTTGAAGAACAAGATCGGTCACTCGCTTTTGTCTATCCACACCCCATTTGCCATTGAAGCTCCCCGAGAAGCTCTTTTCGCCCCGTCAGCTCGGTCTCGCCTCGAAGTGGCGTCGATGATTCTTTCCACGCAGCGCCAGCTCCGTGAAAGGTCGGCCCAGCTTTCGCTCTGCAATATGGGAGAATGGACCGTGCAGGCTTACTGCACTATATGCCAGCTCCTTCATGAGAAGGACAACAAATCCGGTTAGTCAATTTTGTCGTTTGGGATGTTTGTGGATGGTGCTAATCTCAATGATAGCTACTTCTCTCGCTCGCACCCTCCCCGGGCTTCCCGAGTCATTGATCTCCCTGGTGGAGACCGCCTTGACCTGCCTCGAATCCCGCCTGCTTCTAGTGGTGAAGGGAGCGAAAGAATACTTTTTCATGTCGACCATCCTGGCGCTGGTGAAGGCCACTCTCTGGCCAAGCCAGTCCCATGTTTACAAGCAAGAAGTGGTGGAGCGTGTGATACTTTTCGCGCAGACACTCTTCACCCGACATGCCAACTGCGCTCATCTGGGAGACTGGGGCATGGGTAGTTTCAAGACCAACCAGGTAAGCGACTTAGTCTCTCTAAATCCGCAGCTCACGCTGACGATTCCAGGTTCCGAGTCTGAACACCGGCCCCGGGATGGCGCCGCCCTTTGTCCCAGACGTAGCGGTAGGGCAACCGGGGACCTTTGGCATGGTGGTTAGTTCGATCTACCTTTTCTCTCTCACCTCGCTAACAATCTGTCTAGCCCGCTGTAGATCCGTTTCTCGACTCCTTTGACTGGGCCGATTTGACGGGCATAACGTTCTAGCCATGATGCAAAAGTAGAGAAATCATGCCCACCACCTTCCCTTTTTACCTAATGCCCTATCACGACGATGATGGTGTGCACTGTACAAATACAATCGATCACCTGTATCCTCTGAATGCTCTTCTGATTGCCTTAGTCAGACGGGGAAGATCGTCGTGGCGGTGACGCCATGCGATCGGGTTGAGCGACGATCTACATCCACGGCATCGCGTCGATGTCACTCAATAGTCATGCACCCACATCTGGGCTCACTTCACTCCCCGCCCGGTTTTGCTTTCACAATCATCAATCAGCCTTACCAAGGAGAGATCCTAAGTTCCTGAAGATTTCGACTGATATGTGGCCTATGCAGGGATGATGCAAGAACAGAACGAACACCTTGGGGGTGGTGGGGTTGTTGATCGTCTTGCGAAAGGCAGTGAGTGATCGATTCCGTACGTCAGTTGGGGGGTCCCTTGTTTGGGATATTGAGTGAGGCCTCTGACGTAGACACCCTGTATTGAATGTCAGTCAGTGGCGTGATTGCTGGACCTTGCAACCAAATGTCGCTGCAATTGTCTGCAGTAATGGCTGTACTGCATGGTGTAGGTGGTGGGGGGGGGGCACAGTGTGTCTTATCAGGGTCAACAATGGCTGCCATGTGTGTACTACTAGTATAATGAGATCAATATATTACTGCACGTAGGGTCAAGATTAGAATACATATAAATAGCAAGCCAATAAGTGATCGAGAATGCAGCACAGTTCATTAATGTATACCGTTTCTGAGCCCCTGAGTGGTAATTACCTTACCAGTAACTCTTGGATGGATAGAGGGGAGATAAGAGATAAGATACGTACCGTACCATACCGTACCGTACCCTCCAGTTGAAGAAGACTGACTGTTTATCACAATATCCATGATAGCTTGTCTACACCACACTTTCATCATTGCATCCATCTCTAGGCACCAACTTTTATTCGTTCTCCCCCGTGGAGCCCGCACTGACTATTGTCTAGGGTCTGGTCCAGACTGTTTCAGTCCCAGGCGCTCAGCCCTGTTTCTACCACATAGTCTGCTCGATTTTCCCATCCTCTTGTCTAGTATCCAATGAAGAAAATGGCTGTCGCCAACGCGGCCCATTGAGGCTGTCCCGCAGTCTTCACAGCCATTGCACATCATCGAGACTACAGTCAGCCTCTTCGAACTAGTATTTATTAGTATAATCCACTGCTGGACGGTCGTCCACCGTGATTTCTCATTTCCACCGCCATCCCCCCGTCAGTGTGCTGTCCAGCTTCCGGCTCATCACACGCAAAACAGACGGCGTCAATGCATCTTCTCGCCCTCCTGACCGGGATCATCCTCCTGCATGCGGTCAATGGCAGCCCCCAGCCCAGCGCCCCGTCACCGACGGGGTCCTCGTCCTTCTCCAAGACGACCAAATACCCGCTCCCCAACCTAGGGAACGTGGCCGTCCACGACCCCAACATCCTGCGCCACGAGGGGGCCTACTGGCTCTTCAAGGGCGGAGTGCACCTCCCCATGTACACGTCCGAGTCCCTGGACGGGCCCTGGACGCCGCTCGGCACCGTCCTCGACGGGCCCAGCGCAATCCCGAAACAGAACCGCAGTCGCCCCTGGGCGCCGACCGTCGTCGCGTGGAACGCCACCTTCTACTGCTTCTACTCGATCAGCAAGGCCGGCAGTCGCAACAGCGCCGTCGGGGTCGCGACCGCCACCCATCTCGAGGCCGGCAGCTGGTCCGACCACGGGGCCCTCATCAACACGGGCCAGGGCAACGGCTCCGAGATCTACCCGTACACGGTCTCGAACGCCATCGACCCCGCCTTCATCACGGACCAGTCCACGGGCCAGCCGTACCTGCTGTACGGGAGCTACTGGCACGGGATCTACCTGGTGCCCCTGGCCGCGGACCTGCTCTCGGTCGTCCAGGAGGAGCCGGAGCGCCAGAATGCGACGGCGAATCTGGTTTACGTGCCCGATGAGCAGGTGAAGCCGGTCGAGGGGTCGTTTATGAGCTACCGGGACCCCTATTATTATGCTTGGTTCAGTCATGGCAAGTGCTGTGGATTCCAGAATGGTTTTCCTGCCGTGGGGAAGGAGTAGGTTTTTTCATCGGAGATTTGTGCGCGAGATGGGATCATGATGTTGACGGTGTGTGTAACAGGTATAGCATTCGGGTGGGACGGTCGAAGGATGTCCAGGGCCCGTTTGTGGATAAGGATGGCCGGCAGTTGACAGACGGCGGCGGGACGGTGGTTTATGGCTCGAACCATGGGACTGTGTATGCGCCTGGAGGCGTCGGGATTCTGTCTGGCGCCGATGGGGAGTCCGATGTTCTGTACTATCATTACCGTGGGTTGACCCCCCGTCGAATCGGTCGGCTGCCTTGCTAATTTGATTCTAGTCAATACCTCGATTGGCTTCTCGGATACCGTGAGTAGATCTACCGTGGGGTGAGATTGCTGGCTGACTCCGACTCTAGGATGCGCAGCTGGGATGGAACTACCTTGACTACAAGGACGGGTGGCCAGTCGCGGTTTCTGGGTATGTGTTTTGATCTGCTCATTCGGACGGCGCTGACGGAGATTCGCAGCGACAACAGCACCGGACCAAGCGAAAGCAGCGGAGTCGCGTTTGGACCCGACTATACGCTGCATGTTTTCTCATTCATTTGTATGTTCTTGTTCCCTTCTCATGGAGGAATTATGCTAATAATGAGTTCAGTCGTTTGGGGATACCTCTGGCTACATAGCTGACAGCTATGCTGTGCAGGAGTTGGAGAATCTGCTTCTCAGCACCCACGTTAACGAGACGGACGATATAACACGATGATCCATTTGATTAGACTTGGGGCCTGGTGTCTCATATGCACGTTGTTTACTGGAGTCGGACTTCCTGTACATACTCGACGAATGCTACCACCTGTACAAATCACCTTCACGAATCTCAGGATCCCACACCCCATCACACTCAACACCTGCCCCGTGGCAGAAAGCATCGATGTGGAAATTTTGGTGATGTAACATGATTTGGTATCAGAGGTGAAGTAGGTACAGGATGTAGACCGGATATAGGACCGGGTAAAGTCGCGCAGTAAGCAATAAGGGAAGATCCCCCACTTTCTGTCGATTTAGCCATTTTGCCGTGTTTGTTTTTGTAAACATGCATGGGAGTATATTGATCGCGGGGAGTGTTCTGGTTGGTGGGGTGTATGCGGGTGTAGTTGGACCCGTCTTGTATACGATCCTCGGCTTCAAAAACAACCACTACCTAACTAACCCCCTCCATCCAGACCCCTCCCGCACCAACACCAGTAGATCCAGATCAACAAAATCAGCACTGAATCTCCCCACCCCCCTTAACAAAAAACCTCACCTCCTCCAACCCCTCGCCCCTCCCTGCCCCCTCAAACTCACACCAATCCACCACCCCCTCCGCATCCCACCTAAAACCCACCCTCCCACCCCCTCGAACCCTCACTCCACTCACCTTCCCCCCTCCCCAAGCCTCCGGAATCGCCGACCCCAACACCACCTCCTGCACGCCCCCTCCCCTCCCTCCGTTCTGTGCTGCATCCAACCGCTGATAACTAAGATCCTTATCCCGCACCAACATCTCCAGCACCGCCCCGACGACCCCAAAATTCGCATCCGCCTGGAACGGCACACTCCCCCCGTACAGACTCAACCCATTCTCCCCAAAATTCTCCTGGAGGGCGAGGGCCAGCTCCGCGTATGCGTTTACGGTATCATTGAGGCCGGCCCAGCACGCGCTGCGCCACACCTTCGCCCACCCCGTGTTTTGGTCCTCGGTGCCGTTGCCCCGGGAGTATAGGGTTGTTGCTACCGCATCAGTGACGGTGCGGTTGGAGGAGTGCAGGCTCGAGATGGAGGAGCCCGGGTACCAGCCGTAGAGGTTGGAGAGGTGGCGGTGGGTGTCGTTGGGGGCGTCGAGGTCGAGTTTCCATTCTTGGATTTGGGACCAGCTCCCAATGATGAGGCCGGGGGAGAGGCGGGGGAGGGTTTTGGAGAGGGTGGTGTGCAGGGTGTTGGTTTCGGGGAGGGTGGTGAGGACGTGGGTGAAGAGTTCGGTGAGAAGTTGGTGGTAGTGCGTGCAGCCGAATGTCTAGATTCATTTTTTCAGTGGTGTTCGGGGGGACTGGGGGGACTGGGGTATGTATGGGGCTGAGGGGCAAGGCATACGGTTGGGCCATGTTCCGGCGAGTTACACGGGTTGACGACCAGGGTGCCGTCGTGGAAGTATTCGTCTTCCACCAGCTGCGAGACCCAGAACTCGGCCACCCCGGCCAGGATCGGATACCCCGTCTCCTCGTACCAGGCTGCATCCTGCGTGTAGTCGAAGTGGTCCCACGCGTGGTGGGCGAGCCAGGCGTTCGACACGGGGTAGTTGGCCCATTGCGCGTCGTTTTTCATGCTTTCCCGGGGATCAGCTTTTGGTTCCGCTATGTCGTGAGGATGCAGGCAGGGAAAGACTCACGCCGTATGGCCAAAGGTGTTCATCTCGTCGTGCGTCACCCAGCCCGAGCTGGCCCCGTACAGCAGCTCCGCCGTCTCCGCCCCCCGCGGCATCCACGTCTCCGTGATGTATCGCCACAGCGGCTCCGTCAAGTCCCCTAGACCCGTCTGGTCCACGGCCCAGTGCGCCATCTGCAGGTTGATGTTGGCGTGGTAGTCGCCGCTCCACGCAGGCGAGTAGGATTCCGTCCAAAGGCCCTGCAGGTTGGGCGGCAGACTCCCCGGTCGCGAGGAGGAGATGAAGAGGTATCGACCGTAGTCGAATAGCAGATTCTCGACGAATGGGTCCCCGGGCAACGTGTAGGAGTTGATCAGATCCGTGGTTGGCTTGCTGGAGGAGTTGTTCGGGTCTGGCAGGGAGAGCTCGAAGGTGCCCGAGAGCGCTTGGAAGTCTTTCAGGTGCGCTGATTTCAATGCCGAGTACGACTTTTTGGCGGCGCTTGTCGCTGTCTGCAGCACTTGCCTGTAGCGGTCTTCCCCCCGGAATGAGAATCCAGCCGCAGCGTTGCCCTTGGACGCATCGTAGTCGGTGCCGGCGGCGAAGATGAGGAATACCTCACGTTGACCTTTTGGAACGTTGACGGTGGCGTTGTTTCGTGAACAGTAGTTGCTCGATGATTTCGCTCCCGGCACAACTACCGTCGCTCGGGCATTGTAGATCATGCCGATGGTAGGCGCGGTGACTCCGTACAGACTGATGCTATTGCCTTGGCAGGTGACATTCGGGGTCGGAGACGAGAGCTGATTCTCCAGCCCGAAAGTGATTGCCGGCAAGGATCGGTTAGATGCTAGTCGATAGACACAGACTTGATCCGGATACGAACAGAACGCTTCTCTGCACACTGTCGGTCAGCTCTTTTTATTAATCATAAGAAGCAGAGTATGCGCTTACCTGGTGATGTCGACATTGCCAGTCTTGAACTGATCCAGGTAAACGCCCAACTCCAAGTCGAGGCTGCGCCGGTAATCGGACACAGCCCCCAAGCCTCCCAGATCAATGGTCAAATTGCCCAAAACCTGGTAGGAGCCGTAGTCCGGGAAATCTCCATAGAGAGCAGTCACATTGCCGGTTCCGTTCTGAAAGATCCATTCCCTGATCCCGGGCAAAGCGTCGGCCTTGGAGACATTCAGATTACCACCGGTATAAGCCTTGGATAGGACGTTAGTTCGTGTTAGGTCAAATTTTTTGTTATGAGGTTGAGAGCACGCACTGGGTTCTCGAAAGGGCCCCCGCGCCATAGAGAATCCACGTTCAGATTGACAATCTCCTTGCCGGGAAGGCCAATGGGCATTGCTATCGAGCAGATTAATCTCCACACCAGGTCAGGTGTGAACAACGAACATACCTCCTAGCCGTCCATTGCCCAGAGGAAAGGCTGTAGTGATGATACTACTGTAATTGCCCGGAGAATCAGACCACAAAGATTTGGCTGCCGCCAGAGGCAGCATCAACAAACCGGAAGCGACAGTCGAACGCATCGTTTGCTGCTGCAGAAGTCAAGACCCGAAAGACCCGGATGCGGATGAGGGGAAGGGTCAATTTAATATGCCACGTCCAATTCAGCCGTGATGCGTCGACATCATCATCATCCTGTGGCATCCGCGGGGGATCGGACCATCGATTCTGCGGGAAAACTAGATTAGATGCAGGTTGCAGGAGACGGCCGAGAGGGGTCAAACAGTGTCATTGGAGGAGTTATCGGCGCGAGATGAATTGACCTGCAGATCGGCGCAATTGTGGCGCGGTGCTAAGCTGCTAATTTTGTGCTCAACTTGTTAACTTGCTTGCTTTTTGCCGGATTTTGGCGAGACTCCGCAATTGCATTTTTGCTGGCCATAAAAACCCAAGGTGGTCAGATCGGTCTATTGGTAACTGCTGGTAATGCTATCGACTACTGTCTGTGAATTCCATGAAATGTTCCAACTACAGCCTGCTTCCTGCTGCAGTCGCATTGGCCTTTTTCCACATTTCGATCCGGCGCTCGTGGCCTGCGTTGAACAAGTCCACCCAGGATTGTTCGAACGGGGGCAATCTACGCCCCGGCTCGCCCTCTTTCGGCTCGCCTGCCAGCTGTCGGAGCTGTTCAAAGTATTCCTCGAACTCGGGATTAATCATCAAGAAGCCCGGCCCATCGCCCTTCTTTGCGATCCGATCCTGCTCCCATTTTTGTCGCTCTTCGTGCGGCGGTAGCTGAGCCTTGCCTGCCAGCACCCGCGCTGCTGCCACAGCTTGCCATTCAAAGACCTTGAAAGTCAATCCGGCGCCAACCTGTTTCCGTCAGCAGAATTCGCTCAGAATCACAAAGAAATACGTACACCTCCAATAAACATTAAAGTTGGATCCTGCCGATGGAAGACGTGGAGATACACATCGGGAATGCGGTTGTTTCTCATCGGGATGCTGGGCAAGAATGGTAATGTCCAAGTGAAGCCCGTGCCAAAGATAATATAATCGACGCCTGAGACCGAGGTCCCGTCCTCGAAATGAACAGTGCGGTCTCCGTTTTCGCAGGAGACACGCGCGATCGGCGGCCGCCGCTCGATCTGAGGATGCTTGAATGCTTCGTCTCCAAAGTAGGGATTATACTTGCCACGAACAACGGCGTAGATGGGTGACTGAGCAGAACCGATCAAGCTAACAGCAGTGTCTGCCGCAGACACCGAGGCTCCAACCGTGATGACTTTCTTTGGGCCATAATCAGCGATGCCCCCAAGTTTCAAATGACGATAACGCTTACCTTGCCTCGAAGTTGTTCTGGACCACGATATTGTTTTGTGTGTAAGACATTCTCGGGGTACTTCTCTACGAAATCCTTGAGACCTGGGATGGCCGGTACATATGGTACTGCAAAATGCCCCGAGGCAACAACCAAGGCATCAAAGGTTTCGCTCCACCAATAGTCTTCTCCTCCAGGCTTGCCCGCTCGTCGGAGGGTCAAGACCCATTTGTCAGACTGAGGATCTTTCACGGCGGATTCTACAGTGGTGTTGTACTCAACCAGATCTTGGTAGCCGTTACGATTGAGAAGATCCTCGACATATTGCCGAATCACCGTATGATGGCGGAACGGTGTGTCGGGCCCGTGAAGCCCAATTGACCATTCAGAGCGAACAACTGGGATCGGTTCCAGGGAATACCCCATGGTGGCAGCATCCACATTGGTATGCAGATTGGGGTAGACATGAGAGTCAGTAAAGCGATGTTGCGATGATGCCGGCGTAGACTGGGGAAGAGTTTCAGGGATCGGAAGCGGGGCATCAGCCATTCTTGCTGAGAGCTTCTCAACATCCAGAGGGACCGCTTTCTCCTCTGGTCGTGCCACCCTGTTCGTAGTGTCAATTTCTCCAAAAGCCATTATTGAGAAGAATTAAGCGAGCATACCAGCATCCACCCGCCTTCTCCTGTCGCTCGAAAATACGAATTCGGTCGAAAGCTTTCTCCTGCGCCAAAGCGTCGACAGCAATAGCCCCAGCCGGCCCCGTGCCGATGATGGCAACGCTTTTCACTTGCGGCATTGCGATATCTAGGTGTAAACCGTAGGCCGTAAATATCTACAGCGTGTAGTGGAACGAGTTGGAAAGAATACCAAACGATAACACCTTCTGAAAGCAATCAGTACTGATCAATTAATGTGCAATGCCTGGGTGGAATGCCTCGAGACAAAGGATATGGCTAATCATGGCGCCGGATTGCATCAGCGTGGACCACTGATAAGCCCAAGTGACATGGCTGACACATTGCTTATCAGACCCCAGGTCTCCTTGTTGGTTTCAGACTGACCTTATTCTCCGCTTGCTGTCTGCTTCTTAACTGGTGTCTTTGCTCTCTGGTGACTGAAACCTACCCACGGTGGCGCCAGTCGGGCAAAAAACCATTCAATCCCATTTTTCCCATTAACAATTCTGATTGGTCGATTCCTGGAAAGAATCACGTGTAGGATTTTGTATGCAGTGCAAAGCAATGTGATTGGATGGTAGCCGAATCCGCTCTCGGCTTAATTCCGAGTTTAGATCAACCACTATCTTGCTCTGCCGGCTTAACAACTGTTGTCGACTTCATCGAGGCAGGAGATACTGCACTCACGCAGTAAAAATCTATCGACATCAGGAGAATTGACCTAAGTATGACACGAGGCTGTGAAGGCTGCGACACGGAGGCGACACCCTGAAGACGTCGGATTAAGGCTCTTGTTGTTTCAGATGTGTGTTCCGGGTCGACTGATGTCACTGAGTCACTCCTCGATCTTTGCAATGCGGTGATCAATGAACTGTCGTCAAACGCCGGCGTGACCAACTCAGGAACAGCTAGTAGAGCTGTATCGCCCCTCATCAAATAGGCCTTGCAGGCTGATCATTGAAAGATTTGCCATTCCAGGTAGTATTGACGAATACATTGTCCTCAGGACAATCGGCTTATGCATGGACATGAAATGGTCATGAAATGGTCAGATGCAGGTGCCGTTAGCCGAAAGTATGACCTCCTGACTGTATCTCGCGTAGGGTCAGCACACTCCCCAGGAACTGCCTGGAGCTCATATCACGGGCAGCAATGAATCTCATTCAAGATTCGAAACGGGATGTTCTAACGAGTATCGAATACAGCAAGGCTTGACCTATTGCGTAGTGATAATCCTTGAACCAGTCGAGGTGTGTTCCAGGCGCAAGGCGAAGGCTGATCGCTACCTGTAACGCTGCGAAACCCCTCGAAAGTTAAACATCCGATGCTCTCCACCAATGCTCAAAATTGGACTCGCTGCGTTGCCGACCATCCATGGAGCCAGGGTAGACAGACCCAAGAAAAGCTTGGGTTATTGTGCTTGGTTAGGAAGCTTATTGACAGATGACATGCTTATTCTTCGGTGGAATTGGCAAGAGAATGCTGTACTTTCTCCAATCATTTGGTCACAGCTGAACGGTGTAGGTTGGGCCCGTTGTAAACCTAATCTTATGCAGGCTACTAGCGAAAGCCAAAAGATTCCCTGTTTCATCTAGAAGGTTTCCTTAAGTCAATCATAGACAGCCAGTTGAGAAAGGCTCCCGGGGTCTGATACTGTATGAAGTACATTGAGGACGATCTGCCTCTGACTTATACACTTCATGGCCGAGTCCCGCTGGCTTTAGCGAGGGACAGATCGATAGGCAAGAACAAGGTGAACTTTTGTGGGGTTTGGAGGATAATTCCATGATCACTGGCATTAGAAAACAACTCCACAAGAGAGCTGTTTCAGGGAAGGATGATTGCCACCTTGAGAGGGTGGAGTAAGTAGAAATGCGGAGGAGTGCAAAAGGTGGAGGGGAAAGAGTAAAGGATGAGGAAAAAAGTGCTGCCTCAGGGTCCAGGCAACCATCGGCTCTGATTTCCACCTCCACCTCCATCTCCGCTCTTCTTCCGCTCGACTTCCGCTACGGGTCGAGATCCACTGTGCATGTCTCTTTTTTGAGTCTTGACCACTCAATCTCTTACGAGCCCACTTGAACAGAACTCGAGATCGTCGTTCCTGAAATTCCCATGGTTCTCTGCCCTGGGGGCTAACATCGGGGCCGTTCGATCGATCTTCTCGGGTCTGAAGTGGCTTTACCCACTGCCTATAATTTCTACCCCCAATTTGTTCGCCTGAAACGCCGCGGTGAATGTCATCAACGGTCCGTGATAATCCGCCAGAACCCTTGTCATTCCATGAGACTGACAGTATCGTGACACATGGAGTTCTGAAATTCAGGGCCCTCTCACCGACATTGATAACCTTTGTTGAACCCTTCCTACCTCATCCTTTTGTTCAGACCGAACTCGAGATCCAATCGATGCGATGACCTAGGTGGCACCCTTAGAAAAGAGGACGACGCGTCGTGCAGGGCGCTGCATTGTCCGGTGCAAGGCAGAAAATTCCATGGATGACTGAAGCAGCGATCAAGAGGATGCTGCGAGCTGTGCAATTGATTGGTCGGCGGCTATCTATCTCCGATTCGGAGCTCCACCGACAATCAGTGCAGCTCACCTTAATCCAAGGGTTGAATGGAGAGGATTTGGGGTTGAACCATCCAGGCCGAGAGAATCCGCAAGTTCCTGTTAATCTCTACTCCTCTGACTGAAGGCCCTGAGCATCTCCAGGTTCTGTCGGCAACTGGACTTGTTCTTCATTGGCCAGCAGTGCGATAACATCTGCGGTGGGCGTGCCCTACTTGAGCCCTTGCGTGCTTAGAACAAAACCTCGTTTTTGGGCCTTGCGACCTGTCACGTCATTCTAGCTTTGAACCCACCGGAAGGAATCCGGGACTCACCACTGTTTCGCAGTAGTGAGATCCGTCTTGCCATCAGGGTTCCTGGCAGATTGTCACGACTTGCGGCTTCGGTATATCGAAGTCATTGCTTAGCTGCGGGGCGAGACCCATCCGCTCAGAGTTCCCTTGATACAATCAGAACGATATCGGCATGTGCATGAAGAAGTCATCGCTGCCAATTGCCGGCTGTAGTGCTGGATCGTAGATTCCAGTTGGGGAATAATTGTTTGTTGATCCTTCACCTTCAGCGCAGCATGATGTGCCACCAAGATCTATAAAGGCTCCTTGAAATCCCCCCTGAATATGTCTTTTTCTATCAGGCTTCAGTGCTCTCTCGATCGAATTCGGTATCCATTCACTTCTTCCATTGTCCAATACTTTCGCTTTTACTTTACTTCTTCGCTTCAACCAACAATCCTTCAACATGAAGCTTCAGAACGTCGCTCCTCTGTGCCTTGTGGGCTGCGCCCTGGCCTTGCCCGCCAACGTCGATAAGAAGAGACAGGATCTCTCCGGCTTTCCTCCTATTCCAACTGGGCTTGTGCCGTCTGGGCTCATTCCCTCGGGACTTCCAGTCCCTTCTCAGGGCCCGGGATTCGAGCTGCCTACACTGACTGTTCCCTCGGGCTCGCCCGTCGAGAAGCGCCAGGACCTGACGGGCCTCCTCCCCTCGAGCATTCCTCTTCCCAGTGGGTTGACGGAGATTCTGTCCCAGCTGGGTATCACCCTTCCTTCGGATATTCCTCTCAAGAAGCGCCAGGAGCTGTCACAGATTTTCCCCTCCGGGGTTCCGATCCCATCCGCAGTGACTAGCATCCTGTCTGACTTAGGCATCACTCTCCCTTCGGATATTCCTCTCAAGAAGCGTCAGGAACTCGAATCTCTTCTTCCTTCTGGCACCCTTCCCTCTGGTCTGCCCATTCCTAGCGGTGTGAACGATCTCTTGTCCAACCTCGGAATCACTGTACCTTCGGACTTGCCCATCAAGAAGCGTCAAGACCTGTCCAGCATCCTCCCATCAGGCCTTGCAATTCCATCCGGAGTGACCGACATCTTGTCTGATCTGGGTATCACTCTTCCTTCGAACCTGCCTCTGAACAAGCGCCAGGACTTGGACTCGCTGATTCCCTCCGGCATCATCCCCTCCGGCCTTCCGATCCCCACTGCAGTCACCGGTATCCTGTCCGACCTGGGTATCTCTAAGCGTGACGACAAGCAGCCCGAGGCCGTGCCCACCGGTGGCTCCGCCTCTACCAATGCCACCCAGCCCAGCAGCAGCAGTCTTCCCAAGCCCACCGGTATCCCTGTGCAGCCTTCCAGCGGCGGTGTCATTGAGCCCCTTGTCGACACCTCCAAGTCAGTTCAGAACTCGACTGAGTCCGCCACTGGCAGCAGCTCCGCTCAGCCTTCTGGCGCCGCGCCGCAGCCTACTGGCACTCCTGTTGCTCCCTTCCCCGGCTCCCCCGAAATCCCCGCTGCCTCCCCAAGCTCCTTTGCTTCGGTCCGCAGCGCTTTCCCTTTCCGGGCTTGAATGAATGAACCTACTGAGTAGGGTTCACGACCTTGCAACGGTATCACGATCTACGATGGCTGCAGTCCAAGGGTGATATCCAACATACCGTTTGCATGGTTCTATGTGTATGACTCGATTGGTGGATTCCGGCTGGCCGGCGTTTCTTGTTTGTCTACGGCCATGGGTTATCTGGTGATATGGGGTAGGTTTGTATTGGAATAGGCTTAGATAGTTTTGAGTTCAATGGAGTTTTTGTTGCGTTTTCTAATCTCTTGTTCCGCTGACTGCCGCCGTAAGGCTGGCTTTATACATAAGTTCGATACACATGATTGTCTTTCAGACATTGTTCCCCCAAAATCATCGTCAATACCTTCAAGTGTTTCATCTAGGTGATCCTATTAGGATCGTCCCTCCATAATCAGGTTTGCCTTTTGTTTGAGTCCTCTGTCGTATGAATGTTTTGTCATAGAGGCTATCTGTCGTATAAGTGCTATCTGTCGCACGGATGTATATCGTAAAGTCTTTGTCGAAGCTTGTTTGCTGTAATGATGTTTGCCTCAGGTTGTTTGTCGTCAGCCTTTCTATCGTAAAGATCATTCCCCATTCAACGTCGTAACAATTTTGTCACATCGACATCGTCCCTCCTTCGCTTGTCGCCATCGTAACGTTTCGCCTTCCAGGCACCCCTTCAGAATCGAGCAGCCTGCTCCATCCTCTCCTGCAACGTAGTAGCCGCCTTCATCAGCCGCTCCGCCTGGTTCAACACCACATACCAGGCATCCCGATCAAAACGCGGCTCCGCACTGGCAGCCTCAATAATTCGGTCAATGCTTGCCGCCATCCGCTCCATCTGCTCTACCGCGAACGAGCAGTACATGTCGATCTGGAGTTCTTCGTGCGTGTTGCATCCACTCGCAAAAAATGCCTGATGCAGGGACTGGTAGAACAGCCGGTATCGCTCAATCGTCTCGGTGCTGAGCCCATGCAGCTGCGCCATGCTTGGCAGCTCGTGGAGGCAGGTCTCGCACCGGCTCATGCCCTCGAGCAGGTGGATGACGTATTCGATGTCGTCGGCCCGGAACGGTATTCCTTGGGTGGTCGGGTATGGCCCCTGGAGATGCGCGCGCAGCCGGTCGCCTTTCATCTGCAGGCAGACGCAGGACACGGGCCTGCCGCTGCAGAATGCATCTAGGACGAGTTTTGCGTAGTTGTTGGGCTGGCTGTAGAGGTCTTTTGGGCTGGTTGGGCTGGTTAAGGCTGAGCTTGCTAGCGCTGTTGCCGTTTCTTCGATCTTTTCTGATCGAGATGGAAGAGTGAAAGTTTTTGTTTGTGAACAATGCTGTTCCATGGCTGAAGCAATGAACGCGACGCTTCGCGATTGGAGCTTTGATAGCAGAGCTCTGAGAATCTTGCGATTCATTTTGGTGGAGTGAGGGGTTTCCTTTTTAGGAAAAGGGTTGAGGAGCGTGAGAGGAGCTTGGAGTTTGAGGAGCGTGAAGTTTTGAGGAGCGTGAGAGGAGCTTGGAGTTTGAGGAGCGTGAAGTTTTGAGGAGCGTGAAGTTTTGAGGAGCTTGATTATTTGGAGGAGCTTGGAAATTCGCTCGACTCAGTGGTTTTAGTGGTGTTTTGCTTTTGCTCAACTCGGTGGACTTGTGGGTTTTTGGATGCGCTCAACTCTCCAGATCTGTATGAAGATCTGCTCGACTCGGAGGGTTTTAGTGAAGTTTGGAGAGAATCAAAGTGGTAGAAGAGAACAAAATTCAAAGGGAGCCCTCGAAAGCGAAGAAGAGTACACCCCCCTGACACTATACTATCGTCATACCGGAAGTGTGTTCCGTGTAGAAGCATCAATGGCTAGGGCATCGCGCCCCTGTGTTGCAACAGTCGCACTCGAGCAGTAACAGTAGCATTGTTTTCGAGCAAAAGAAAGCCTAGTATCCATGGACCTGTGCATAAACTTTTCCGATGCCGTATGTATAGGATCATCGGACACTAGGTAACCAGGAGATGCAACCAGCGCTGCGATGTCCATCTCCAATCTATCCTCCCAACTCTTTGAACTTCAGAAGCAGCCACATCTGAACAGAGCCTTTTAGAAAGCCTGTAATGTAAATGCAGTCTGTACTTTAAGCGACGTTCCTTCTATACTCCGTACATTTTATGTATAATATGATGTACAGCACATAATCCCAAATTACAACCCGATCTGCCTATTGCTTCCACCAGTGGAGCGCAGAGAATTGTAAAATCCGTGGCCACGGAGGGTAATTTCAATCTCGATCAAAATCCATGGATCTTGCTGTATTCAAAACTCTCGTTGCCAAAGCTAGCAGGTGGAAAACCAACTGCGAGGATGATATCAGAAGACAATATCAAAACTAGAGCTCGAAGTCTAAATATAGGCCTGGAGGCTTGGGTGGCTGTTTGCTTACTGCGGTCGTCCCAAGGATCATCAGATCTGGGGTGGTACTGGACAAGAGATTGCAAGATGGACCAGACAGAAGTTTATAAGACGTGTGGTGAGCAAGGAACCAGTGCATTGTTTGAGGGCAATCATGGTTGGTACTGTAGGAAGGCAGATGATCTCATAGTCTCATGCTAAAACCCACAGTGGGTGGAATGGCGGGGCTACAGGGCTGAGCCTGGAAGTCTTGGTGACTTAACCTCCAGTGAGTAACGTTACTGAGACACGCGTCAATCAGGCCAATTGCTGCTGATCCCGCGGTCTTTATTTTCTCCTCCGCCCGATTTCCCCTCTCCGTCACTCGTCACTCTCTCTAGGTCTTACCACTTCCTTCTCCTCATCCATCATCTTTCCTCCCTCTCCCTCTTTTCCACTCCCCACCTCCCCTTTTCTCCCCCCTCCCCATCTGCTGCATTCTAGATTCTAGACATTTTTTCTCTTCGTCTAATAGCTTTTCATCCTCCCTTTGCACACCTTGAACGAGTTCAATAGAAAGCTCCTTTTCCGCTCTCGCACCGCCCCAGCGCCCGCCCTCAGCAGACGTCACACACCCCACGGAACCTTGGCAATTAGGCAGACGCTTTCCACTGTTTTTTTCCACCTTCTAGAAGTTTTCGAAGCTATTCTTACATAAAATCCTGACCCCGATCTCTTCACGATACAAAGTCGGCCCATTATTGTTTCCTGGTGACAGTGATCAAACTGGACTGTCGCCCACGATGGCCGCAACGAAATCCGCCCCTCCTCTTTCCAACGGCACCCAGTCGGTCGGCCTCGCGACCGACGCACCCTCCACCACGACCACTAATACATCCACAAGCCAGATCCTGACCGGGAAGCAAGAACATTGTCAGTACCTACCGCAGCACCCTGCGGACATGATTGCTGACGGTCGCAGATCTCAAGCGCGAACTCATCGCCCGGCAAGTCCAGAGCGAAATCGCCGAGTTGAATTCCCCTACAGCCCTGCAACGCTTCGGTGCACCCTTCAAGTCGGAATTCGGTGAAGTTGCCCCAGTCGATTCCGAACTGCCCATCCTCCGATATATCTTCGTGCACCACGTGCGCAACTTCCCCTTCCTGGACAAGGCTCGCGAGAAGGAATTCTGGCAAGATAAGCTTCAAGTGGTGCGTATATTCTGGACCATTGAGCACCAGCCCTATTGTACAAAGCGCTGATTGCAAAATTGTAGTTTCTCGAGTCGTTCGCAAAGAAACATGTGTCTTCGTCGGAGGATCGCCTGGAGGAGACGAAGCGCAGAAAGCTGGCGCGCAAATGCGAAAAGCTGGTCGAGCTGATGATGGTCTCTGGAATTCCTACTGCTTCGGGCTATGAAGAACGCATTCAGTTTTCCGAGATGGAAGTCGTGGATCGCGGGGCCAACGAAAAGGGTTTGTTGGTCAATATGCCCGAAGGAAACTCAATTCACGGATGGGACATCAATGTGGCTGCGGTCCGGGTTACATCCGTTAGACGGACCGTGCGATATCATCAACATGCAGTACGTTCAGAGGAATTTTCGAGCAACTGAAGAACATTATTAACACGTCTCGTCAGGAATTCATTATTCGGGTGCGCCGAGATGGAAAGCAGGATACCTTCGTGGCTCGTCGATATGGCGATTTCTCTAGGCTTCACAAACGGTTGCGCACTGAGTTTCCCGGAAAGCCACTCCCCCCACTGCCACGCAAGAACAAGTCTTCATTGACATCCAGCATATTTGGTTCCGCTGACGACGAAGCCTCATCAATTTCGTCTGTTTCCACTCAAGAAACGAGCGCAATAGACGACGGCTACTCATCTCGCAACCTGGCGCCCGGCAACCACCATACTCGTTCACTGTCACGGTCTTCCAGGCGGTCGCTCAGGTCGCCCAGGGCTTCAGGAGACGCGCCTCGGGAGACGGTCCTCTACAGAGAGGAACAGCGAGTCTCCCTTCGAGCGTTTCTCCGTACTTTGCTGCAGAACAAGCGGGTGGCGGACACCAAAGCTCTTGAGGACTTCCTGACTACCAACCCGATTACTCTGAATGAAGAGGAGAAAATGGACATGCAGAAGCGCAAAGAGGTAGATGCTGTGCGGATTGAGGAGCAGAAGCGGTTCTATGAAATCGCGAGAGCGCGCGCAGCTGAGTTGGATGAATACATGGAGAATTTCCGTCGGGACATCGTCGAGAGTAGTAAGTTTCGACTGTACCCTGCTCAAGTGCTACTTTACTGATCAACTCCAGATGGATTGACGAGACTCTTTGCTGAAATCAAAGAAAAGCCGACAGTGGAGGATTTGAGCCCACAATACCAGAAATTCGCCGAATGGCTACGCATTGAAGTTGCCGCCACGCTCTATCATCTTTTCCTGGCCGAAGATAATTCTCCTGAACTTTTCGCTCAGGCCAAGAGGATCCACTCTCTTGTCCCTTACAGTCTTCTGAAAAACGTGATTCGCATTGCTAACCCGGCAGCTGTGATGTCAGGAGTACTGGACCTCTTCCTGGCTCAACCTTTTGGCTCCCGGTCACTACTCCAACGCATATTCTCTATGACTTTGAACGATGGGATCAGAGCCTTCCAGAAGTCAATCGATGCGCTGGCCGCGACGGTTGAAGATCCTGTCCTTTGCCAAAAGCTGAAGGCATTCACCGACGCCGACGAAGAATTGAAGAATGAGATTCGCGCCGAAGCCACTGCCGAGGATGTTGACATCATTGTGGCAATTCTCAAGACGGAGCTTATCTCTCCTGAATTGACCCCAGAACAGTTTGGTAAAGTGTTCAATGCTTACGTCGCCTGGAATCAGGCTGTCGAGAGTGTTGATGCGGAAATGCGAGAAGGCGCTCATTGGTTTGCCAATCTCAAGCAGCTGCTCAAACTATACACCCGCCAGCGGGACAAGACAATGATGCTCAGCATCGTGGAGGAGCCGGTTACTCTGCAGCTCTTCCGCGACCTCTTCACGATTTTCTACGAGCCGCTCGTGAGGGTCTACAAGTCGGCCAATGTCTACAACAGTATCACGGATTTTGCACGCTTCGCGGATGACGCCATCGCCGTGATCGAAAAGTGCCATCGACAGGATGTGTCTGCCGACCCCAACCAGACTGTTCAGGCCTTTATCGATCTTTGTGAGCGCCACCAAAGCAGCTTCTACAAGTTTGTGCATGAGGTGCACTTGCACGACAACGGTCTGTTCGGATCTCTGATGGCATGGATCGAAGACATTCTCGAATTCCTGCGCAAAGGACCACGTGGTGGCAAGCTGGACATGAATGCCCTACTCACAGGAGCAAAGGATGTGGGCCAGATCGACAAAGACAAGGCATTGGATGAGATCAACGCTCTTATCAAATGGCATGCCGATCGGAAACGGTGGCACCTCAACAAGACCAGACAGAAGATGGCAGCCGAGGGGACTGGCAATGAGATTATTCCTGGTAGCACGACCTTCAGGAGCAGTGACTTTGGTTTGGATGAGGTATGTGAATTCTTGTGTCAGTTGATGAGGCAAGTAGTATATTTGCTAACAATTGCTCCTTCTAGGCTGATCTCGAGGATCTTGCCATCTCGGACGAAGAGTCTGACGCGTCCGATGAGTTGGATGATGAGGATGATCTCGATCCCATCACGGCCGAGCGGAGACGTCGGGTCAAGAAGCAGGATCAGCTCCGGCGTACGGCGGGTGAGCCTGTCAAGCCGGAGATCCAGGAGATACTCAAACTATCAGATTCGTTTGGTGTTATGTTGCGACAGGTGCTTGCGGATTAGACACATGCATTGTTAAGATACCCTAGAGTCTCTAGATCACTCATACACAGCGTTTATATAGTTCTGGTTGTTGGCATTCGGGCATGGCTTACATATCGGGTGGAGTAGGTAGGGAAGTTCTTGCATGGGTCAAGACTAGCTTGATACTGTGTTCTCACATAGCTATAGTAATCTTAGTATAGATTCATAATTACATGAAGAATTTTATCAAAGTGCACTGGGTTCAGATGATAAGGGCGGGCGGTTGGAATAACGTGGGAAGCGGGCCGGCGGATCAGTGAATCAATCAGTGAATCAGTTATCCGAGACTTCAGTTTCCATGGCGACAATCTTTGACAGGGGCCACTATACAGAAGTTATGCCTGCATCTACTCACCTAACACCTGACCCAATCCACTTCTTGTTGCATCCTAGCCATGATTTCCCCGTCGCCTCGCAAGGCTATTCGCCTGAAAGGGCTTTTTGTCGAGGGGATGTGGCACTGCAATTGTCCTGATCGAAAGCCTGCGAACAAGTTCCAAGTCAAGAATCACGGGACAAACCATGGTAGATACTGTATGCTACACTTCTTTCCTTTTCTCTGACTACCCGGGATGCGATTGACTGAGCGACTAATCTCGGGCGCTGCCTGTCCTTCTCTTCTGCTTCCCCGCAGTTTACACATGCCAATCCCAGAAATGCGACTTCTTCCTCTGGGCCAGCGACGCCGAGCTGCGCGAGAAAGCCACCGTCCTCTCCAATTCTCGATCCGAGCCAAACCCGGCAACGACACAGACTCCGACCAAGAGACTCCGAGTCTTTGACGGTCTCCTCACCCCACAGACAGAGCCGCGCATCCATCGCCACAGCCCCGCAACGGGCGGCGGGCAGCAGAAGCAACCGCAGCAGCTCAACGACATGCTCTCCCGAAGCGCCAAGGCGCGCATGATGTCAGAAGACATCGATGAATTCGAGTGGGACGACGATGTCGGGGCCGAAGTAGGCAAACTGCTGGACGTGAAGCCCATCCGCCAGCCTGAGTTTGGACCTCCAAAGGCTCACCAGGGTCCCGCTCCTCGCGCTCCCCAGCCGCCGTCCTTGACATCCCCCGCGAAGCGAAAGTGGTCGGATACGGAAGACGATCACGAACCTAGACTCGGCCGTCATACCTCGACCGCCTCATTTGCGCAAATCACACCCCGCCCGCAGACCGATCGCATCCCATCCTTCTCGTCGACGGCGACCGTGGCGCCGCCCTCGTCCATGGAGATTTCGATGTCGCCGACTCCGACTCGGTTTCGGGATGCGATGGCTGGGGGCGATGAGACGCCGCTGGACGCATCGCATTTGGCTTCGCAGGCTATCCGGATCTTGGAGAGTCATCGAGTAGCTCTTTCCAAGCAGGCGCAGGAGGAGCTTATGTCCCTGCTGGATAAATATGATCTGAAGATGAAGGGGATTATCCGGGGACGAGATATCTCACGCGTGGCGTTGAAGAAGAAAGATGAGCAGATTGAGCAGTTGAATGCACGACTTGCGACGCTGGAGGGGCGGAGATAGGGCAGCGCTTTTTTGTTTTTGCAGGGATATATGATACCATGTTTCGATGTATTTTCTTTTACTTTTTTACTTAGTCGTCCGTGCTCGTTCTTACTCGGTGCTACGCTATAGCTCTGCGCGGGCCATAATGTTTCCCCTAGTCTGCTGTGCGAACGGTGATCTGACTACTGTATCTATGACTGGTCTGATGAGCAAATGTCCCTATTCATTATTGACACAACTGTATCCTATTGAGTTCACCACGATCATTTGAGGACTGCATCATGTGATTGTGAGGCCATATAGATCTTATCCCCATCACGTGCTGATAAGCGGGCCTCCACAGTCTTGACTCCATGATTGGAATCGAAAAAAAGTCACGCCTAGACAGCCTCCGACCACGCGATTACCCCACGGCCAGTCGATCCGTGCATGATCAATGTCCAGCAGACCTCCGAAGCGCATCAAATCGCAGCATCAATCCCCCTCGACTCCGATGTCCAAGGAAACTGACTCCGAGACCAAGCCGGTTCGCAGCGACATCCCCGCCATGTTTCGGCCCCCCGTGAATCGCACCATGCGCGTGCTGGACCGGTCGTTCTTCAAGCGAACGGTGCCGGTCTCTGCTGCCACGATCTTCAAGACCTCGGATATTGCGACTGTGCGACAAGCACTGCACAAGAAACGCGACTTGTTGGCGCTGCCCAGAATGGCCACGCTTCGGGATATCAAGCAGGATGATGTCGTGCGCAAATGCTTGTTGCTGCGCGAGGAGATCAAGCATGACGGTCGGTCTATCTTCTCTTTGATGTAGAGCAGCGAGCTGATGGAGGGCTTAGACACGGCGACCTGGTCTCCTACTGTCTCCGAATTAGTTGAGAAGGGCATGGTGAGCGTTGGCCCTTACGATTTGACGATTGACTATGATTACTGGTCCTATGGTACGTTACGATTCTACCCCGAGGTGCGATTTCCGTGGACTAATATCTCCCAGCCGATCTCATGGCGTCCATTCTCCCCGAAGAGCTGTGCGACGAAATCCCCCAGGGCTTCACCCAAGTCGGGCACGTCTGTACGTACTGCCTCCCACCACAGCCAGGCCGTAACTGACCATTCCACCCAAACCAGCCCACCTCAACCTCCGCGAACAATACCTTCCCTACAAACAGATCATCGCCGAGATTCTCTTGGACAAGAACCCCACCGTGAAGACGGTAATCCGCAAGACCGACGACGTGGGCTCGCACAGCCAATTCCGCACCTTCCCCTTCGAGCTGCTCGGGGGGGTGAACGACCTGAACGTCATCCAACACGAACAGAACTGCGAGTTCCGGTTCGACTACTCGCGGGTGTACTGGAACAGCCGGCTGGAGACGGAGCACCGGCGGCTGGTGGACAAGTTCCGGCCTGGGGAGATGGTGTGCGACGTGATGGCGGGCGTGGGGCCCTTCGCCGTGCCGGCGGGCAAGAAGAAGATCTTCGTCTGGGCCAACGACCTCAACCCGCACGGCTACGAGGTCATGCAGGATGCGATCCAGCGCAACAAGGTCGACAAGTTCGTGACGCCGCACAACCTGGACGGGCGCGACTTCATCCGGTCCTCGGCCCGCCGGCTCCTCGCCTCCCCGCTCACCGTGACGATCGAGCCCAAGGTCCGCCGCAGCCAGAAGGACACCGCCCCGCCGCCGGAGGTGTTCCACCGCCCCACCGTCTTCCAGCACTACGTGATGAACCTGCCCGGCAACGCGATCGAGTTCTTGGACGCCTTTGTCGGGGTGTACGCCGGTGAGGAGGCGCGGTTCGCGCCGCACACGGCGCAGCAGCTGCCAAAGGTGCACGTGTACTGCTTCTCGGGCCATTCCGAGGACGAGCACGACGATCATGTGGACATCTGCCAGCGCATCTCGGAGCGCATTGGGTTCGAGATCACGACGGAGGACCGCGTCGGGGGCAGCGGCCGGCAGGAGCTGGAACTGGCCATCCACAACGTGCGGTTGGTGAGTCCCAACAAGCAGATGTTCTGTGCCAGTTTCCGCCTGCCGGAGGAGGTGGCCTTCAAGACGGTTGCATAAAAAGGGGATCCGACAGACTTTCATTCCCACAGCTGAACACATACTTGTCGTGGTATCTTGCATAGCCTACATGTATAAAGGGCGTTATTCGATTTGATTAGAGAGTGTAGAAAGAAGTTCCTGGAAACCCCAGTCCAATTTTAAACATGATACCCTACACATCGTACCTTTACTTGGTGCCCAGATCATGAACAATACCCTTGCAAACATTGCCCACAAACATTTCAAGCAAAAGAAAACGTATAGTATACGTATACCTAATCCTCTTACTATCTCACCTGGTAGGTGGTCGATAATGATGTAGTGATAAAGGGTAATGATACCGAAAAAACCACCCCTCACCGCCTCCCCCACTCTCTCCGCCCGCCCACCGCAAAGCTAACCTTACCGCCTCTCAGCTTTGTCCGTCCGAGAACAAACTCAGCAACCTCCGCGTCCAAGCAACGGATACACTACAATCACAAGCACTGACTCCATCGGCGTACGTTGAACACAAGCACAAACTACGCATCGCAGCTACGAATCGCGATTACCGAAGACGGCAACAAGAAGACCCGGCAACGCAGCAAAAAAAAGAAAAGAAAAACAATGAGCTTCCAACTCCCCGCCCCCACGCACCGCAAGCGCACCCTCCCGCAGGGCGAACTCGAGGCGGCGTCGACGCTGCGCCTCGGCGCGGACCAGAACACCCATACGCTGTCGCTGTCCGAGGCGCGGCTGGTGATCAACAAGGTGTTGGAGAATAAGCGGCGCGGGGGGAAGAAGTATGAGGAGCCTGAGTGAGTATCTTCTTTCTTTTTGCGGGGGATTAATTTGGATGGATTGGGATGGGGGGTTTCAGGCTCGTGGAGTTTGAGGGTTATCATTGGGATGAGACATATACCTCAAAAGCAAGATCCAGGCTGATGATAATCTCGTCCCAGAAACCTCACCAAAACCCTGGACTACCTGGAGGTGTTTGCGCGGTTCAAGGACGAGGAGAACATCAAGGCGGTGGAGCGGTTGTTGAACTCGCATACAGAGTTGGAGATGTTTGAGCGGTCGCAGCTTGGTTCGTTCCCCGTCCTTTTTATGTGTTCTCTGTGCTGGGTTAGGGGGGGGAGGTTTGGTGGGAGGCTAGGCTAGGCAAGGCAGCAGAGCTAATACCTTGTTTTATCTTGGGCAGGCAGTCTGTGCTGCGATAATGCGGAGGAAGCGAAATCGCTCATCCCGAGTCTGCAGCATAAGATCTCGGATGGGGATTTGCAGGAGCTGTTGGATGAGTTGACTAAGTTGCGGAACTTCACTGAGTAGAGGTGATTATGGTTAAACATCTGCTTCTGCGGATTTGCTTGAAAGTTTGGGAGGGGGAAAGGAAATTCTAGCATGGAGTTCTGGTGTTGTTTTTTTGGTCTTGTTTTATCTTGTCTTGTTGTTGATGTGTTGGTCAGTGGAACGGGGTAAGTTATAGTAGAGGGATTTGTTTATGGCAAGGGAATCATGTCGTCATGCATGGGATGGGCAGAAAGTGTAGACTACTACTATATCCATGATGACCACGGAAATCTCCTCAAAAGCGATTGCACCGTTCGGAAAGTTAATAAAATCGCCGGATATCACACCAAGCCAATAAGAGGCGTGATATAGTCGGCTCAAACTCATGAGATAATCAATGAACTGTAGTTATCAGCCAGGCATCGGGACGAGGTAATCCTGAAACTTGGGCTGATGGCAGAAATTGAGTCATCCTCCTGGTCATTAAGTAATGAGAATTGGAACCGGGGCATGTGTCGCAACTCCGGGGAACTAGAGAGGGAACTAGACCCCAAGTTCTAAGTTAGCACGTACCGTATACGCATACTTCGTATTACTATGAGTATGGACTCTTGTCTGATTCTGGTTCCCCAGAACAAAGCAAAGCGAGAAGGTGGTCCGACACAGACACAATACAACACAACGACCGTGCGAGATGCCCCTTGCTCTGCTGGGGAAAAGAGATGAGATCCGATCCTCAGCCACGGAGTCTGTGTGTCAAAGTATAAGTATGAAGGGGATGTTAGAGTTGGTGTGACTGATGGATCAAACTAAGTTCTCGGACAGCTCTCCTCCGGCCTGCATTTCCATTATTAAGGACTGGCGGCAGAGCTGCCCAAGGAGGCGGTCGCCCACCAATCATCCGCTGGCGAGATGCATTGTTCATTACTTTCCTCTCTCAGCTGTATGACTTTTAAGTTAAGGTACCTTTGGCCATTGCAGTTCCAAGTCTGGCCGGCGAGGCTGTGGGGAAAGAAAAGCCGCCGCTGCAGGGCCGATCCCCGTTGCCGGTCTGCCGCTATCCCCTTCTGGGCTCATTACTGTCTGTCTGATTGGTGTCTCAGTAGCGTTATCGGGATGATGTGATTGGAGGCTCTGCTGAGTAATGCAGGTTTCCCGACAGGCGCACCAGTCACAGTTGACGCTCCTCTTCCCCGGCTCATTCTCCGTCCCAATCCCATCTCAGCATCTCAGTACAATCGGCATGTCTCTCATGCTTAAGTGCTTAGTGTCGGAGGGAAGCAGATCGGATCTTGTATTAGGAACAAAAGCAACGCAATTGCCTCAGCCCAGATACCACTACTGCACCATCCGGACCATCATCATTCCAGCCGTCACTTTCAATGTAGTAAACCTACCTAGGTATTTAGCCAGAAGCCGTGAAACGGTCAACCACACTTCCTCCATGGGGGAAAGAGGATTCCAGTACGTAATACCAAGTCCCCTCGGTTGCCCCCCCCAGACCACCAGATCCAATCACGCCCGCCCGGCTTATCGCTTCCAGCAGTCGAAGGGCGCAGGAACTGGCGGCGAACAACTTGCTGTTACGTGTGGGAAATGCTCTCGATGGAGAGCGTCGGAGCCCTCCTCGCTGATCGATCGCTTCATCCGGAGATTCTCTTATTGATCCTGATGACTACCGCGATTGCTGCGTAGAGTCATTCGGTCATCGCCAGTATATTATTATGAGTCCCCAGGGCTGGGGAAGGGGCGAGGGAATCACTTGGGAAAAGTTGCCCTTCTTTGTTTGCCGGTTTGCAAGTTAAGCAGGAGAAAAGAACAGAAGAAAAGAACGAAACCGGATTCCTGGTGGATGCTATAGTTATATACTATTCGGTATCCTATCCAAGTATCTGGGGAATCCGAAACAGGAACAGTGTGATTGATTGATTGATTGACTACACTACACTACACTACACTACTACTATCTATTCTCAGCTCATCAGTCTATCCTCCCTGATTATCATCGATGATTGATTATCGAATTCGATTATCATCAACATCGACACTGTCGTCACCACCATTCCAAGAATATTATTATTTTGTTGTTCCTCTGGCACTGGCACTGGCAACGGCAACGGCACTCCCTCGCGCCTTCCCGATTGAGCTGCTCCGGTTCCGCTGCTCTTGCCTGAAGTGATCAATCAGTGTTGTTACTCACACACACTCTCTCTCTTCTCTCTCTTCCAACCTCTTTTTTACTTTTCTACCCACTCATCCTCTTTCTTCTTTATCTTTTCTATTCTACCACGCCCCTCCTCTAACCCGACGACACCAATTGAATCCCGTGGCTTGGTCGTCCGGTTATTTTCCCTGATAAGCTTCTCCGCTGCGGTTCGTACTTGGCCCCCCGTCAAGCCCCGGCAGCTATTGGTCGGTGCGTTGGACTATTGCCCGCCGCCCTCCCCAGAGGCAGGAATACCGATTCCCTCCAGGCCAACTCTCACTGCCAACCACCACGGCATCAGCATTATTCTCCCCTTCCCCCTCCCAAGATAATCCCCTGTTCGGGGATCAGACATCATACAGGGACTCCGGCCTGACTACGAGTCAGCCATCCCTCTAGATTGATCTCCCGTCCCTGAGATTGCGGAGCCCTGTGACGGCGGACGTTCCGGGTCGCCCCGGTGCCATTTACGTGACCCCGAGTCGCTATCGTGCAGTATTATTATCATTTGTATTCTCATTATTACTGCCTATCTGCGATCAACGATTCGTGTGATTGGCACACGATCTATCGCCTATCTCTCACCTCGCACTCCTCCCCTGTCTTGTTTCTCCCCGTATTCCCCCGGACCTATCTCCGTCGGCCTGGCCTATCGCCCTATCAACTACCTGGCGCTCGACCTGTCCATTCCTGCCTTCCTGAATGGCTGCTGTTATCACCCTGCAGTCGTCCTCGACGACTGGCCCAACAGGCCCTTCAGCAGCTTCTTTCCAACACTCCCCTTCCTCGGACCACCAACTACTTCGTCCCCGGATCCAGCAGCCCTCCCAAGTCCAACAGCCATCGCCTACCCCCCAGCCCGGTTCTCTATCCACGCCACACTCGCCTGTATCTTCGGTGGGAACGCTCCCTCGTGTCACCGCGCCAGGTCGGGATGGGTCGAGTTGTGACGCATGCGTGCGCAGAAAGAGCCGGTGTGCTATGAACGAGATGGTGAACAAGTGTTATTCGTGCGACTTTCATCGGCAGGAGTGTACCTTCACTCTGGCGGTGGCCAGTCGCCCCGGCACAGCCGAGTTGCAGGCGAAGAAGCGGAAACTGGACGAGACCGAATCCGAGGAGCTGGGATCGCCTAAGAGGTATGATTTCACCGGGCACGGCCGATCTCGGACTTGGACTCGAGATATAGTAGGACTTTCAGCTAATCAACATCCCCGCCGCCAGGTTATCTACCCTTCCCCCAGTGCTGGCCAAATCCGACCCGGTCCGCCCACCCTTGAATCACACTCTCCCTCACCACCAACCTAATCATCAATTGCCCCCTGCCTCCTCGTCGTTCTGGCAACATTCCACCCAACATATTGGCCTCACCACCGACCTAGAGCCTGCCCTCCTGGAGTTCTTGCCCTTGGATCAGAACCAAGAAGGATTCGTGGCTACCTCCCGTGTGCGGAAGTTTAGTGACGACGGCACCTTCATGCGGGTGGTCAGCACTCGATCGCCCGCGGACTCACCGCACACTGCTTCCTTGGACGCCATCGAGAGCCTGGTCGCTCCCTATGGCTCCACCTTAGTGGAGAAATATTTCGAACATGTCCATCCCACCTTCCCCGTTCTTCTGGAGGACAGTTTCCGACAGTCCTATCGGGCCCGGAGTGGCCTGTCACCACTGCTTCTCTCTGCTGTTTATGTCCTCGCTTTGAAGTTCGTCGATGTTGGCCCCCCATCTCAGACCATCCGGCGTCCCGATGCCGGTCGCTTGGAGAGCACGGCCCTTCGGCTCTTGGTGGAGTCGCTTCCCTATGCCTCCATTTCTACGATCCAGGCGGGACTGCTTCTTATGCAGAGGTCAAACCTAGCCACAGCTGCGTTGACTGCGCAGCTGGTCACGGCCGGCTTTGAGCTTGGCCTGCACCAGGACTGCTCTAATTGGCGCATGGACACATGGGAGAAAGGGCTCCGAAAACGCTTGGCATGGGCCCTATACATGCAGGATAAGTGGTCCGCGCTTGTGCATGGACGGCCGTCTCACATCTTCGCCTCCAATTGGATGGTCCAGGACTTGGTGGAGCAGGATTTCACCGAAGCTTTCGCTGCCTCAGCACAACACGACGATGCGCCCGTCGGCCACGGCCCGCTATCCTTCTGTCATATGGTGGCTCTGACCACCATTCTCTCCGATATCTTGGATCGTTTCTACACTTTACAGGCGATTGAGGAATTTAAGGCGGCGGGAAACAATCGGACGCGGATGATTCTCGAGCGTGCCAAGCCGGCCCAGATTCGGTTAAAAGAATGGTTTGGCCGCCTGCCGTCGGAGTTAAAGATGGACTCGGGCGGCGACTTGTTCGAGGTCGTCACCGAGGACAACGCTCGCAACGGTGCCTTGCACCTAGCCTACTTCGCAACGGAGATCACCCTACATCGCTGCATTGTGCGGTCGCTGGCGCCGGAGAACGCCGACGCCTACTTGTCCCACATCTGTCGCTCTGCCGCCAAGACGCGATTGATCTCCGCGATGGACTTTGTCAACCGACTTCGGCCTTCCCACTTGCGGTCCTTCTGGCCGGCGACGGCACGGACCAATTTTGCTCTGATCGGCTCCTTCGGCGTCCTCCTTCGCATCTCCGCCCCAACAAAGGAAGAAGCCGAATTCTATCGGCTGCGACTCTGCGAATACCGCTGGACGCTGAGCGTCAGCAAGAAGGATGCCGAGTTCTTGGAGTTTGCGTTGGAGAGTCTGGACAACGCCAACAACCTGGATCATTACGTTCCTGAAAAACCTGGCATCGATGAATTGATGACCAGCGCTGCCAAGCCCACGACGATCAATCCTCCGCGCATGGGCGCCATGGAGGACTCGATCTTGGAGGCCCCGGACAGTGGTCTGGGTGGCACCTCCTCAGTCATCTCGGGATTGGCATCTCCAGCAACCTCTATCAGTGATGAGAGCCTGCAGGACTCTTCTATCCCACCTCTCTAGTCATCTACCTCCGGTTTCTTCTCCTACCTTTTCTCTTTTTTGCATGTTCCCCCCTAAAAGGAGATTCGCGATACCCCGGGCTCTACCAGCAGTGTTTTCTGTCTGCTTTCCCCAATTCTCTGTGATGCCCTGATGAATTTGCATGTCTCTTTTGGTTCTGGCGTTTTGTCTTCTTGCTAGGAGGGGGGTCTCGTTTCTATGATACCTCTTGCTTTTTTCCACTTTGTGTCTTGATGACGGCAATGCTGCTGGGTTACGAACTAATTCCCTAGATGGACGGGCGGATGACTTCTTGCATCTCACTCGCATTATACTTGTACATATGGTTTCTTTCTTTTCCCCTACATGAAGGATATGGGTTGAACATAGACTGGATGGCAATCGGATAGATAGTGTGATTTGATCAAACATGATTTATATCTGATACATTGTACAAGACGCACTTTTTCTGAACAAGTAGATCATGGGGAGGTCATCATAGTCATTCTCCTCTCACCGATCACTGACTGGCTCGGCGTCATGGTGCTTTCCTCTTCGGGTGACCCTAGACTAGGCCCGGGGAAGTGAGCCTGGCCCAGCTCCACTTTCCCCTATCAATAGAGCATCTGCATATATTCCTTTTATACATTTCTTGTGTTCCAGACGTGGTGCTGGATTGATTGTGGGGGTGAGTCCCTACGGATTGGGTCTCGATGGTGTCCGCTGGAGACTTTAAGCAGGAGCTGGGATTGCTGGTTATGTTCTATTGGAGCTTGATTTATTTTAGTTTGTTTGCAGCAGGTATACCGACGTTGGGGATTCTGCTTGAGGAGGGTCTCTGCGCGGCTGAAGCTACGGGGACTGGGCGTTTGAAATGGGTTCCGGGAGGGGCTTAAGGGCTGCTTCGGGGGCCTGGATTGTGAAGCTAGCTACGCGGCTTGCGACAATGTCTATAATTGAGTAACAGGTGTAGGTACTTGTAGATAGTAAGTTAAGGTCCAAATACACGCATTCCCTCCACCCTCAGCTCTCGGCTCATTGAGAACCTGGACAACGTGATCAGATTTCCGGTTCAGGTTCATGTCCCAAGAAAGAACGAAAAATCACTGGCCCCGTTCCCAAACGCAAAGTCCTCGAGGATGGTGGGATCTACCAGGTTCGCCAGGATCTCGGCGCGGGTATCGTTGGGCTGCGCGTCGGGATTGAACAGCGAGAAAAAGAAATCGTTGTCGACGCCCGGCGCTGGTGCTGTGCTGCTGGTGCCACGGTTTGTGGCAGCTTGCTGCTGCTGGGGGTGTGGATTGCTCAGGCTGAATGGGACAGGTGAAGTAGAAGGGTTCGCGGGATTCGCTGGGCCGGTTATTGGCAGTGGTGGTGGTGGCACGGTTGAAGTGGACAAGGTGTAGTGGGTGCGACGTCGAGCGACGCAGGCTCGTGCGACTTCGAGGACCTCGCGAATCATCTCGGCGCAACGGCGGGCGACGACGATGTTGTTCATCGATTCGAAAATATCGAGGCTTTTCTCTACGTCGAAGAGCAGGTCTTCGTCGCGGATGCTGGGGTATCCCGAGAGGATGAGGTGCAGGAGAATCATGGCACCGTAGAGTGCGTAGGAGGTGTTGTACCACCTTTTCCCGGGGTTTTGGTCAGTGGATAAAGGCTGTGGGATCATGGCACGGCAACAGGGGGAACTGACCAGGTACGAATGTAGATCCTGTGTATGAAAGATTCGTACTGCATGTTGATGCTCGTTCTCGCGGCATCGAGACAGGCGTGCAGGTGCTGGAGGATGTTTGGGGCTTCGGTGTTGGAGACTGAGGCGGCGAGGAAAGGCTTGTGGATGAGGATTCGCGTATTGTAGTATCCTGGGTACATCAGCTTCTGAGGTAGGATGACGTCTGGTCAGGATTGACACGCGTACTTAGTCTCAGCACGAGTTTCTGTTTGAAGGCCCACTCTGTATCATTGAGCGAGGCGGCGTCGATATCTAAGAAATCAGGTAATGTAGACTTCCATGCCAGCAGTTTACTGTCTAGATCCATCGCAATATGCGACATCTCACCCATGGAGCGCTTGGGAGAGTGGTAGAGAAGGTGTGATGCCTCGGACATGATTTGTGCTAGGGCGACCATTGCTGGGATCATTGCCACATGATTGTCTTCGGCATCGGCATCAAGTAGGTGGCCAGAAGTTACCTTTGTAAGTATATGGTCAATAAACTTCCTGAATGGATCATCAACAGGTCTTACCTTCAACACTGGCAGAGGAACTTGATAGTACTGCAGGTCTTTCATGCTGTCCAAACGGCCAGAGGAGCAACACATCTCACTGCGTCTTCTTAGTAACCCTGGAATCTCGAGTGTGGTACCCCCACCTACACTTCATGTGAATAAATACACCTAGTTCGGTTAATTGAGCGCTGTGAAGAACACGACGGGTAACTTACCACCAGGTCCGAATTCCTTCTTTGCGAACACCCGAGGACAAGGACGTCATCCCTGATGCCAGTCCGATTGCTACAGCTGTTCGGACCGCCATTCCACTATACATGAAACAACTATGCGGTCGAAGCGCATTCTGACAGAACACACTCTAAAGACAAGATCAGCATGGAGTCAGAGCTTCCTTCAGAGTGAGAAAAGCTTACCAGGAGTAAAAGCGCCTGCACTCCCTCCAAGCTGCAGCTCTCGAACAGATCTCCCAGAGCTCGTTTGGCTCGGCCAAAGTAGAAATCAGCAAAGTCCAACACAGATGGTCTGCTTGTGGTGCCGGCTCTCTTGGGGATCGGGTTGTAGTTGCAATAATGGTCTAGGAGGGCCGTCTCATGTGGACTGGCGTTGATCGCACCCAGCGCGACCACAGCGAAGTATAACCCAGCGAACTTCGAGGATCCGCGATACAAGTTAGTCCTCCTGCTTATCACGAAGGCCTCTTTCTCGCAACGTTGCATGAATGCGCCTTTGCACAGCATGGGGTGTATATAATGCTTGTTGCAAAAGTAACTGCCAATGAACATTTTCTCGATTTCAATCTGGGCCTCTTCTGAAAGATTCTCGATGAGCGGTATGACATCATGCTCGTGGCTTTTATCTGACCTTTCCGCTTAGATACTGGGCATTCCAATACTTAGATGTTGATTTGCTCACCCGTATATCCCTTAGCTGTGCTCTGTGAGCTCACCCCATTCTTCGCGGTTCCGCCGCTGTCGATTACACTTTGTCCATCACTTTGCAGAGGAGATTGACTCGGATACTTTGGATTATAAAGCAAGTTCACAATAGATAGCTGGGTTGTATTGGTCGTAAGATGCGCACCCTCCGACTGCGTGTCTGCTGCCGGGCTGGGAGTCAACTGGTTCAATCCATCTTTGTTGGTTTGCACCGTGTCGGAAGCTGCAGTATGGCCCTCAACCAAAGCATGAGTATGCTCATAATCAGGGACGGTCGAACCTCTATTGCCGGCCTGGGTACGGGCTCGTGCATACAAGTTACCGAGAAAGGCCAGATTCGAGGAATTGCCGTAGAACTCTGTGCCATTTGTGTGGATGTTGACACCGCTCAATCCATCTCTTGAAGCTGAGTCGCAGACTAGCTCAGGCGTGGCGGCTGCAAAACATGCTTGAGCATACAATCCAAAGAAGGTGAACGACTAGAGCATTGTCTACTTACCGGGCATAGTGTCATCATCGCGCTTGGGCGTGAAATGGGCGGGTGGACTAGCATTGGTATTGCCATCACTCCGAGGGACGCGGGGTGTCCCTCTGCCGGAATGGTCTGGAGAGTTGACGTGCTGAAAGCTTTCATAACGGCTCTGATCGACATCTGGCCAAGGTGATGGTCTGGTTTTCTGTCTTGATTTAAGGTCAGAGCCCGAAGGAAGCAGAAACAAGGAGCATCGAGGTACTTCTGAGCCTCGCGAATCTGCGCTTGGCGTTTTACTGCAGACGAGTTCTCGTTGGGACCTGCAGCTCTATACGAACAGTCGAGCGAATGATCTGCGAGTCAAATGATTAACGGTGTCGCTCACAGAGGGATTGATTCTGCAAGGGTGCATACAAGCACAATATGAACAAGGCTGAGCTTGATCGCACTATGATCAACGAGAGTTAGTTGAAGATGTGACGAAGGGACGAAGGGACGAATAGACAGTCGTTCCTTACTTTGGTTTTGCGGACTCGACAAGTCTCACAGGCACGGGAAGCGCGCGGCGGGCGTCGGCGAGAAGCGCGCAGTTTGGCCGTCACCGGCGAGGCAGTTTCCCCTCCGCCTTCCATCCCGGACCTATTCAGCTCACTGTATGTTTTTCTAGGCTGCTGCTGCTGCTGCTTCGAATACTCCTTGATATCTTTGGCTTCCTGTTGACGATGCTAGTTATTATTCTCTTCAGCTGACTCGACATGTGCTCCACACTGGAGATGCGCTAGATAAGATTGGCTGTCGAGATTCCAATCCACCGGCCGCAGATTGACAATTTACCGATAATGCCGAGCAAGACGAGAACCCCCAAGCTTACGGCGAGCACGACCGACAAAGACTCAGAATCCGGGGTTTACGCGGGGTCTGGGGTTGAACACCTGTTGCGCTTCTCACGACTCGCAAACAGAGGCTTCGGAAATTGTCCCCCTTGCCATGGCTATGAATACTTTACTCGATGCTAGCTGGCTACGAAAAATGGGTTCCGCATTGGTTCTAACCTTACCAAATTCTCTCCCCCAACCCACCCAATTTGCTAATTTGCTGCCATGGTTTGAGCTTCGTCGCTAGCCATTGACAGATATTCTGCTACAATTGATTGGCGATGGAAGTAAGTCACTCTTACAGACATGATGACATATGCGAAGGTTTGCAAATATGTGATTCCATGCCTTAGATCTGCGTCTCGATCCGCAACTATGCAGTCGAAAGAAGCTCAATGAAGAATCCGATGCCTATTGTTTAAACGAATAAGGCATTCGTACAATACGTCATAGTATGATCCGCCTCCTCCGCCCGACATTGACAGCGGAGAACTTCTGTTTATGCTGCAGGACGACGACTCGTCAACAACCTAGATCGATTGACTGTTGATGTGATACCCTCGGTCATGTCGATATTCATCACCATCGGCATCTTCGAATATACACAGTTGTTTCAAGATGCTTGAGCTGGGTAATGGAAAGGATGTGGAGTACGGAGTACTTTGACGGAATAACGGCATACGAGACTCGCCTGCAATCTCTGCTCTCTTCGCCGAGGTGCTTTCCATCATCAAGCTTCAGCATTGTCGATCATTTTTTAGTCTCACTGCGCATACTGATGCCGGTCGCTCAATGCTAAATCGGTTTTTGGATGTGTTGCTCCTCCGCCACTGTTTCCTCCGTCGGAACCACCTCCGCATTATCCTTCCGCTCCGACGGATCTCGTTGAGCGGCACACATCCAAGATACAGTTACCCGCGCAAACACCTGAAGTGACGTTCCAAGTCTCGAGCAGCTTGTGCCCCGCATTATGCTACTGCGGGGAGTTTGTGTGTTCTGGACTTTTCGAGATCGAAATGATGTTAACCGAGGCGGATTGTGAGGCGGATGAGGTATAAGAGAAAGATATCCACGCCTCGGCGACTGTCCTGTCCCAGAACCACCACCAATCAATTCTGTACACACCGCATTCAGGTCTCACAATGCCGAAGCAAGATCTGAACGGAGCTCCGCCGGTCGAGGGACTGAGCGACCGAACTCGCGCCAAATGGGCGGCCGCGTCAACGCCAGAGGAGATCGCGGCCAATCTCCCTCCAATGCTCGACCTGACAATAGAGAACATCACCGAAAATGTGATGAAGATCAATTCCATGTGCGACAACCCGCGACTTCGATACCTCATTCTGAAGTTGATTCAAGCGGCCCATGATTACGTACGAGACGTTGGGCTGCAATTTGATGAATGGGAACAAGCATGGCAGTTTTTGACCAAGGTGGGTATCAGTCCTCTGCCGAGTCGTTTTATTGCCTAACAGCGCCTTCTGCAGGTCGGTCAAGTTTCGACCGATGTCCGCCACGAGTTCGTGCTTCTCTCAGATATCTTGGGGATCTCCGCGCTAGTTGACGCCCTCTCCTATCCTGCTGTGCCCGGAGCTACCGAGTCTTCTGTGCTGGGTCCGTTCCATGACGAAGAAGCACATTCATTCCAGTATGGAGAGTCGATCTTTACTGAGGGTACCCCCGGCGAGCCCACGATCGTACGTGGTTGGATCAAAGATACAGATGGCAATAATGTACCAAAGGCATTGATTGACGTCTGGGAGACGGACGGCAACGGAGTGTACGACTTGGAATATGACGGAAACGCCGATCCCAACTGCCGAGGGAAAATCTCCTCGGACGAAAAGGGTCACTTCCTTTTTGTTTGCGTCAAGCCCGTGGCCTATCCAATCTCCAACGACGGCCCCGTTGGCGAATTGTTGCGCAAGCTCAAGCGGCATTGGTTCCGCCCGGCTCATATGGTTAGGCAATTCATCCTCAGAGTCTGTGCATAAATGCTAACATCGGATAGCACTTCATGATCGAACACCCCACATACACCAAGCTGATCACTGCCCTGTACTCGCGGGACAGCAACTTCGTGGAGAGTGACACCGTGTTTGGGGTGAAGAAAAGCTTGATTGTGGATTACAACTGGTGTGAGGACCTCGATTTGGCCAAGGAACACAACGTGACACCTATCACCAAGACAATTGACAGCAAGGAGTCAACAGGATTCTGGCTTCTGGAACAGGACTTTGTTCTGGTCAAGAAGAGCCCGCCTCCGCCTCGCAAGACAGAGGATTGAACTACTAGTCACTAGGTATAAACCACGCCCAGTCAATGGAAGTATATATGGTACAGCAGTGGCAGCGCAATGACACAAGACCATTCGATGTAATTCAGCCATAAGCATACACGAAATTCGAGCATCAGAGTAGCTATGCCCCCAATAAACTGTAGATGGTGTGGTTGTCGTCAGGTGACCCTATGGGTTCTTTCTCGGTGTATGCAGCCCATTCTTTGCTAAGGCTGCCTTCACTCACAGAGATTCAATGCATTGCCAACAGAGCCATGCCATACACCTACAGTCCTCAGCTGTCATAGCACTTTCTACATAAATGCTGCAATGGCCAAACCAATCTTGTTTACTCGCATAACTACTACCTGTCGACTCCATGGAGATCGTCTGTTGCGCAATTGAGGTAGTGATGTCTCTCTGCCTTCTTACTCCCAGCCGCCGAACCACCGAATTCATCCTCTCCATCACTTTCAGGACTCATACTCGATAGACTGCAATCAATACCTTTGTACCTTCCGAATGAGCCGACGGAAAGATCTCTAACTCCTGCACTCCGATTGGCTTGACTACATATCATTTCCTCCGGATTCGTCTTCGTCCCACAGCTATCCAAAGTCCTTTCGCAGTACCCCGCTATGTCCGGAGAAGATTCCGACGGATGAAGCACCCGAGACATGCATTTCAGGCACAAGACGGTTATACACGGCAGTGTATGAGAGCATCGGGGCGATGGCTTGCAACAGTGCATGGTCATGTGGATGAAGTAGAGGTGATGGACTTGGGCGGTCTGATTTGAAAGCCATGTTGAAGCTCACAAGGAATGGGTATATTAAAAGTGAGCATGGTAAGTCGACTCGTCTACCTGGCAGCTTGCTCATCCTGACTTATCGTTTCTTATCTTATCTAAGATAGTATAGAAGCTCGACCAACCAGCTCTCGCCTGTGTTTATCATTCATGTATCGACGACGATTATTTACTCGGCCTTTAACCCATTATCTACAGACCTCCTTTCCACTTACACCTCTGAGAATCAGCACAGTCCGACTCAACTCGACTATGGCAGCATCGACTCAAGAATGGAGCCAGGATTCCCTTCGGGCCAGCTTCTGCCACGCGCTCTCTGAGATGTACAAAACCGAGGTTCCTCTCTACGGCGATCTAGTCGATCTCGTCCACCAAGCCGATACAGAAACTATCATTGCTCAGGCCAAGCGCTCAAGTAATGATCTCACCGACGCTGACGATATCCTCCCCGCCCGCCACCGTGTCGAACGCCACGGCGCCATTCGACTGGGCACTGCTGAAGAACTCACCACCATCCGCCGCCTGTTTGCCATCATGGGCATGCATCCAGTCGGCTACTACGACCTCACGCTCGCCGGCTTCCCCATGCACGCCACGGCGTTCCGCCCTACCAGCCCGGAAGCCCTATCCAGACATCCTTTCCGCGTCTTCACCACCGTCCTCCGCATGGATCTCCTCACCCCACGCACACGTCTCCTCGCCGAACGTGCCCTCTCCCAACGCTCTATCTTCACAGACCGGCTCCAGACCCTCATTGGGCTAGCTGAGAGCCGACAACAGCAGAAGCCATTCACCCCTGAAGCTGGTCAAGAGCTCATAGCGGAAGCCCTCAAAACCTTCCGTTGGCACTCTCACGCCACCGTCACATTGGACGACTACCAGACCCTCAAAGCCGAACATCCCCTCATTGCGGATATTGTCTCCTTTCCCAGCTGCCACATTAACCATCTAACGCCGCGGACGCTCGATATTGACGCCGTGCAGTCCAGAATGTGGGAGACAGGTATGCCGGCCAAGGAGCGCATCGAGGGACCCCCGAGACGGAACTGTCCAATCCTGCTACGGCAGACAAGCTTTAAGGCCCGCGAGGAGACAGTCTTCTTCCGGGCTGGACATGGGGAGTATGTGAAGGGCTCGCATACAGCGCGATTTGGGGAAGTCGAGCAGCGGGGGTTTGCGCTCACGCGCAAAGGGAGAAAGCTGTATGATGAGATCCTGGCGGCAGTAAATACTGAGGTTGCGGAGAAAGGAATTGGAGCTGGGGATGCGCAATACGAAAACATTCTTGAAAGACATTTTCAAGGATTTCCGGACGAGTTAGGAGAATTGTGGGCGCAGGAGTTGGCGTTTTTCTACTATCATGTCACTCCAAAGGGGAGTAAGGGCTTGAAAGGCTTGGGAAGCGCGAGTGTGTCTCAGCTTCTGCAAGAAGGAGTACTGGAGTATGAGCCCATCACGTATGAGGATTTCCTGCCGCTCTCTGCGGGGGGCATCTTCAACTCCAACCTGGGGAACACGACACAGTCGAAACGGTTGATCATGGAGGCCGAGCCGGACCTGGATGGGTTTCACCGGATGCTGGGAGTCCCAACGACGGATGAATTCAGCTTGTATGCGCGGATGCAAAGAGATAGCCTGGAGCAGTGTCGGGTGCAACTGGGACTAGAAGAGATTGCGGAGTGAGATGTGGTTCGTGGAGGTACAGTACAGTACAGTACAGTGCAGTAGAGTACATGTCATGTTCATAGTCTAGCATTCACTTATACCTGTGTCATTAACCAAGACGTACGGACCTTGCCTCTTTCCCTTTTGAGTAAACATGTCGTGTTACTGCACTTCCCCCCTCTTCTTGCCAACCAAACCTCTTCCACCGCTCCTGGCCCAGTGCTTCTTCTGCATACTCCCTGCAACGGCATATCATTCACTGATCGCATCGTTATCCGACACTCATCTCCTCGAATGCCCTCCAAGCATCGTTATCACGAAGATCCTTTATCATTAGTTCTCTGAACAAATACTGCTAGGTCCGAGCAAGTCGCCATGCATACCTCCTGGCTTCTACTCAGCCTCGCAGCTGCAGCTGCAGTCTTTGCCCAGGAAGAACAGGACCTCAACCTTTTCCACTATGGCGGACGAGGTCCTCTCCTAGGAACCTCCTTCGGTGCACCCGGTGTAAACGCAACCTTTGACTATATCGTCATTGGAGGTGGAACTGCTGGCTTGACGATCGCGAGTCGTCTTGCCCAGAGTGAACGCTTCAGCGTTGCGGTTGTCGAAGCGGGCGGATTCTCCGAGATCGACAATGGCAACTGGTCCGTCGTGCCTGCGTACACTCGAGGGCTCTTTTGCGGGGACGCCCCCGAGGCGTATCATCCACTGAACGATTGGGGCTTCAAGACGCAGCCCCAGCAAGTCCTGGGTGGCCGTGTCTTCCACTGTGCGCACGGCAAGCTTCTAGGAGGCAGCTCCGCTCAGAATAGTATGAACTATAACCGCCCTACCAAGAACAGCATGCAAAAGTGGGCAGAAGAAGTGGGTGACGAGAGCTATGCTTTCGAAAGCATGCTGCCGTGGTACAAGAAGTCTGTGCGCTTTACTCCGCCGGACCCAGCCATCTGGGGTGATTATGACATTCTGCATAACAGGGACGCCTTCGATGATGGTGGTCCTCTTGAAGTCTCGTCGGGGAATTGGATCGATCCGTTGGCTAACACTCTACGCAAAGTCCTGACTGATAGGCTTGGGTTCAAAGAGACGGAATTTAACAGTGGCAGCCTGCTGGGCTCCGGGTTCATGAGCCGAACTATCAATCCGAAGAATGCCCATCGTTCCTCATCCGAGTCCAGCTTCTTGCAAGAGGCACTCGATAGTGGAAGCAAGCTGACAATTTACAAGAGCACGCTCGCCCAGAAGATATTGTTCAACGGCGGAGACAAGACCGCTTCCGAGGTCCTCGTCTCAGCAGCCGGCACGTTTGGTACCTCGAACCTCGATTTTTACCTCAAGGCTCGCAAAGAGATCATACTCTCAGCCGGACCCATACAGTCTCCGCAACTGCTCATGGTCTCTGGTATTGGGGAATGCGAACAGATTTCTAGATATGGTATTCCCTGTATTAGCCACTTGCCAGGTGTTGGTAAGAACATGCAAGATCATCCTGTCGTGATTACAACATGCCGTGTGAACGAGCACATGGTGCCTTCTTTGGTGACTGAAGAGGCATCAAACCAACTACATATACGACAGTTTCTTGAGAACGCCCGAGGGCCATTGACAATCATAGGGCCCGGGTACTTTGGCTTCGAAAAGCTGCCGCAGCAATACCGTTCCCAGCTATCTGAGGAGAATCTCATGAGTCTTGCAGACTTTCCCGGGGACTGGCCCGAGATCGAATGGGCATTTAGTGGTGTGAGCCGAGCCACCGATGCTTCTGAGGGAAACTACACCATCGCCATGGGATCAATAATTCAGGCTACGTTCTCTCGTGGGATGGTCTCGTTGGCCAGTCCAGACATGTCCACGCCGCCTATCATTGATCCACAGTGGCTTGCTGACCCGAGAGACATGGATACCTCGATTCAAGCGTTCAGGCGCAGTCGTGAGGTTTGGACCCAGCTTGCTGAGATTGGAGTAGTCGATCTGGAAGCGTGCGTGCCGGGGTCCGAGGTGGAGGCGGATTATCAGGTGCGCGAGTTCGTTAGACAAGATACGTCAGCGATCAACCATGCCTCATGCACGTGCAAGATGGGACAAAAGGGCGATGATATGGCAGTCATCGACAGTGCTGCCCGAGTATTTGGGGTGCAACGTCTGCGGGTTGTGGATATCAGCAGTTTCCCCTTCTTGCCACCGGGCCATCCGCAGGCAACTGTCTACGCCCTGGCTGAGAAGATTGCAGATGAGATACTGCAAGCAAACCCTTGATTAGGTGTGGTGCGGTGGACTGCCCTCGTGTGCCGACTTTGGGGCTTTATATAAAACCATTCTTAAAGCAATTTTCCTGGACCAGTCCTAAGAACCAGTCTGTAAGCGTAGCCCATCTGTGGACCATGAAGCGTAGGGTAGTCAATGCTAGGCTCACGGCCGATCACTTTGAGGAGACATCAATCCATAGCGTTGTCATTGACTGGTTATTGTCGACACCAGAGACTATCTGCATTGTCTGCTGATTGAGTCTCAAATCCACTCCGTCAAGACATAAAGAAGAAAGCAGAATGAACATTCGAAAACCCAATTATGAGATACAATACAAGTGCACCACATGGTGCATGGAAACAGACGCACACTTTCTATCTGTACATGATCCTTCGCAATTGCAGGTTCCAACCATCATAACCATTCGTCCCTTACCCAGTCTTCGCCTTTCTCTCTCTCTGTGTGTGTCTTCCTGTGATTTCAACAACTGCCCCTTGTGAACATTGTGAACATCCACCATCAACAAAAGAAGCCCCGAATCCGCAAGTACCATTTTCCCAGTACCACCCCATCCACAATCTCGAAAAGAAGAGAGCCAAAAAACCCTCCTAAGCAACCACCGCCCCCTCCCGCAACAACTCCTCCGCAGTCTTGATCTTGACATCCATGACCCGCAGGAGGGTATACTTGTGCTTGCTCCGGATCATCTGCACGTGGCGGCGGCGGCGCTTCGTCTTCTCCTTGACGCGGAGGGGCTCAGAGTCGACGCCCACGACGCGCACGCGGCACTCGTACAGCCGCTCATCGACATAAGGGGCCCCCTTCAGCGAGAAATCCCGCGACCCCAGCACGGACGCCCGGTTGAATCGCAGGATGTCCCCCGGCTTCACGTTGGGCATCAGGAAGGGCAGGCGGATCGCGTCGCCCTGCGTCAGCAGGTAGGGCCGATCGTGCAGGTGCGAGACGATGTAGTGCGGCTGCTGGGTGGTGAGTTGCGGGAGCTGGGCGAGGAGCGTCGGCGTGAGTTGCAGCGGCGCGGTGAAGGTCGGGGCCACGGGTTTTTTGAGGTCGATGGCGGAGGGAGTCGTGGTAGAGGAGAGGGGGGTTTCTTGGGGGGTGGGCGTGGAGGTTTGCGCTCGGGGGGTCGCGGCGAGTGGGGAGTCTGGGTGTGTTGTGGTCGTTGTTGAGGATGTTGCTGGTGCTGGGGCGGCGGCGCTGCTGTGAAGACAGGCCCGGGCGACGGAGAAGCGGCCGGCGATGGCAGCGGCGGCGGCGGCGCATGGCTGCTCCTTCATGGGGAGGGCGAAGGCCCTGGCGAGGGCGGTGCGGGAGAACATTTTTCTATGGGTGTCTGGTTCTCACACGGGATTGATTTGAAGTGAAGCAATTTGTCCTTGCTTGGTCAATGGGGGAGACACCGCAACAAGACAAAAAGGTTCCGCGAAGGCCGCTTCGTGCACAGGAGAGAGAAATTCCGGACGGGACGATAAAGTCGGGCCACGTGACTGATTATCGGCGCCCGCCAAGCCGTCTCCGAACTTTTTTGTATCAACCTTTTTGCTTGCTTGCTTGCTTGCTATCAGACCTCCCCCTCTCCCCACCCCCACTCTCTCTCTCTCTTTTTGTTGATTTTGTCGTTGGCTTTGACGCTTTTTCAACATGGTATGTTGCTGATTCGATTCTGTCTTACTGAAGAAGCCTCGCTAACGATTTATTCTTCCACCATGAACAGCCTCAGAACGAGTTCGTCGCACCCTTCCCGAGCCACCGGAAGAAAAAAAGGAAAACAAAAAAACTGACCACGATGAAACAGGTATATCGAACGCTGGACGAAACAGCACGGTAAGCGTCTCGATCACGATGAGCGCGCCCGCAAGAAGCAGGCCCGTGAGGTCCACCAGCAGTCCAAGGATGCCCAGAACCTGCGCGGTCTGAGGGCCAAGCTGTACCAGCAGCAGCGCCACAAGGAGAAGATCCAGATGCGGAAGCGCATCAAGGCCCAGGAGGAGAAGAACGTCAAGTCCTCCGCCCCCGAGGAGCCCTCCAAGACGCCCCTGCCCCAGTACCTGCTCGACCGCTCGCAGGCCACCAACGCCAAGGCCCTGTCCAGCGCCATCAAGGACAAGCGCAACGAGAAGGCCGCCAAGTTCGCCGTCCCCCTGCCCAAGGTCAAGGGTATCAGTGAGGAGGAGATGTTCAAGGTCGTCAACACCGGAAAGAAGACGCACAAGAAGTCCTGGAAGCGCATGATCACCAAGCCCACCTTCGTCGGCAACGACTTCACTCGTCGGCCCGTCAAGTACGAGCGCTTCATCCGCCCCATGGGTCTGCGTTACAAGAAGGCCAATGTTACGCAGTACGTTTGTCCCTTTCTATTGCCTGTGTGTTGGTTCGGTTGTCGAACGCCACTCAGCGCGGACCTATCTTTTGGATCCTTGACAAGCACACGTTCCGCTCATTACTAACGCTATTTGCCTCAATCCTCAGCCCCGAGCTCGGCGTCACCGTCCAACTCCCCATCCTGTCCGTCAAGAAGAACCCCCAGAACCCCCTCTACACCCAGCTGGGTGTTTTGACCAAGGGTACCGTGCTCGAAGTCAACGTCTCCGAACTGGGACTCGTCACCACCTCCGGAAAGGCAAGCTACACCCTCCTCTCGGTGCATCCAGGACCAATACTAACAGCGAGCAGGTCGTTTGGGGTAAATATGCTCAGGTCACCAACAACCCCGATCTCGACGGTACCGTCAAGTAAGTTTCCGATGCCCTGCCTTCTTGACCTCTCATCTCTTTCACATACTAACCACCCCTCACAGCGCCGTCCTCCTCAACTAAATCAGTTCAAACCGTTTCTACCCTCCCATGTCAACGATCATGACACCAACGGCTCTTTAACCACCCTTTCCCGTTCTTTCCTATAATCTGCGTTGGTTCTGTGCGTTTTTGTTCGTTATCCTCTCGTTGTGTGTTTGCTTCGAGATAGAGGATTTTTATCATTGGGTATGTGAGTGGCGTTAGTGGCGCGCAAAGTGTGCTTCGTTTCATCTTGATTGATCTTTCTGAAAAAGAGATTCCCGTTATTCGAATTGCACCTTAACATACATAGTAGCTAGCTAGATATACAAAATCAACCATTCTCCAATTGATGAATCAATACTCGATCAATCCTGTGGAAAGTCGTTCTGGAGACTTCGCTGCAGAAATGCTGCGGTTTACAAGTAGTCCAGTACCTCGGTGACAGTTTTGTTTTGTGTTGTGCCCTTTGAACCATGTTCATGTGTCGCTCGTCGACCTCGCCACTGTCGAGTTTCTGGATTAAGGGACTAATGAACTCATACAAGCGAGCCGCACTCCCTCTTCTAGGTACCTAGGTAGGTACTTGTAGCTTCTTGCATCGCCCAACGGAATCCAACAATGACACAAACAATTCTCAACGCGAATGTAGAATGTAGAACATGCAATGCAATGCACTTATCAAAGACGCAGGTAAAAAAAAAAAAGTGTCTTGAGCTCGTAACATATGAGCGGGAAACCATACTATTCCAGATTAGTGAAGAACGGAAGGAAATCTTCTGGGAACCTAGTACAAAACTCCGGAAGCACCATGCTCTCTTGCTGCTGGGAGCTTTCCAAGGCATACAAAAGCAACCCCGACCAGATATAAGAAACAAACAGGGCTAAAGCGCGACACACACAATATTGAAATCACCCCGGAACCCGTCCCAGTACTTTGATGCTATCCAAAATAAGTGTGGGGGGTGGGTGAGAAGGAGAAATGTGGGGGGAAAGGATGGGTCCAAGAATAGGACAAGAAGAGAAGAAGAAAAGAGATAAGGGAGAACCAGGGATAGAAAGAAGAAAGTCACAACCCTCCCAAGATGTGGGGGTCGTAGACTGCACAACGCCGGGATCAATCAGGATATCAAGATAATGGGTAATATACCAAACAAGTAGGGGGCTTTCAATCAGAGAACATAGGGAATTATGTGAGAGGGTATGTATGCAGACACAGAGTGTACGGGGTGGGTTTAGGGACCCTCTTCTAGGGCTGATTTGATCTTGGCAAAGAAACCGGCCGGCCATGCGGCAAGCTCCTCGTCCTTCGGGATGCCGCGAACACGGCAGTGGTTGACCACATTGACCAGGATCCGGTTGAGCATATCTTGCGTGACGGGGACTGCGGCCTCAAGCTGCGCGTCGGGGTATAGGAAGGGGTCGCGCTGGCTGAGGAGCTCTTCGACGGTGGGCCGGAGGGTCTGGTCTCTTTGAAGGCATCGTTTCAAGGTACGAACCAACCCGGGCGGTACAGGGACGCCTCCGATAGCGAAGGCGGGGAAGTCGATCTTCACGTTGGGGTTCGGAATGGCCAGGATGCGTTCGTAGTATTTGGCGATCTTGGCGAACGGGGGCTGGCCGTAGACCATTTTGTACAGGATACATCCGAGACTCCAGACGTCGCTGGGTTTGCCCAGCTTCATCATCTTCCCCACGCTTGCCGGCAAGCCGAGGGAGGCGTTAGAGTCAATCAGAGCCTCGGGAGACATGTAGTTCGGCGTGCCCACTTGCTGCTCGCGGTGCACGTTGACGGTGTTGTCCTGGATTGCGTTTGCAATACCAAAGTCGATGAGCTTTAGTCGGCCCTGAACAAGCAGGAAATTGGCGGGTTTCAGATCTGAGTGCACGACATTGTAGTCATGTACTGCTTGCACGCATTCGAGCATCTCCTTCCAGTAGTAACGAGTGAAATTGATATCGAATCGTGCATCTTCCGCGTTCAGTCGGTAGGTAAGCACTTTTTCAAGGTCGGATTCACCAATTTCCATCAACACACTTAAAGTGTGCTTATCCTGATTCAATTCCCAGTCAAAGAGACGCACGACGCGGTCCAGGTTCTCAAGCTTCTTGAGCAGATCGATCTCGCCTTTGTAACCGGCCAATGTCACAGGGTCGACGTCCTCAAGGTTGACTCGCTTCAGGGCAAAGATCTTGTAATTCTCGGCCATCACACGATAAACACGAGAGCTTCCTCCACGGCCAACGCAATCAAGGCGTGTGAAAGGCTTGTGGTTGACTGAAACTTGATTGCGCTTCTTGCGAGACTGAGATGCTGTAGCTGCTCCACCAGTGGCTGTGGCAGTTTCCAGAACAGACATTTTGGGGGGAGGCGGAGCTGGTCGATGAGGGGTATTGTTGCTTCGTGTAGCTAGGATTTTCCGGTCTGCGGGCGTCTCCTTCTCTTTCTCCTTCTTTTCTTCTTCGTAGACCACGGGTTTATCAAGCAGGTTAAAACCTTGCGGTTTAACCCGCTTGAAGGTCGGTGGTGGCTCATTCTCCTGGTCACGATTTGAAGGTAACGTTGGCGGGGGAGGTACTTTGAATACCGGCTGGTCCTTGGCGCTCGACGGTTTCGATGACATTTCCGACGAAGAGCCAGGAGTGGACTTAGAGTGTGAGCCATAGGTCTTCGGAGAAGACGATCTGGAAAATAAGCCGTCGCCAATGACATCCCGGTCTCGGTTTCGATCACGGCGTTCCTCGCTTCTCGTGGGTGGGCTCGGGTCGGCCCACGAGACTTTGGGCGAGGAGAATTTCGCTGTATTCTTGTAGTGGTAGTGGTCGTTATCGTCATTGTCATCATAATCGGTCTCCCGAATCTCGTTTTCTTCACTCTGCCGTCGTAATACACCTCTCCGCGCAGGGCCATTGAGGAAAGTACCGGTCAACCGGCCGACCCGTTTGACGCGCAATGAGCTGTGCATCCCGACATCTTCGATATTCCGCGTGCGGAGCACGGATGCGGTACCCAGCCGCGGAGCATACTCATCGTCGTAGCTTTTCTCCTCCGAACGGGTCGCGCTCCCATGCTCCTGGTCGTCGATGTAGCTCCTCTCAGCCGATCGCCTCTGGGACGGCGACAGGGACGCAGGCGATCGGGTGTTGCTGCGCGATGCATTGATACGGACACTCCGTGTGCGTGGTGCGGGCGTAATGAAATCATTTTGCACGGCGTTTCGTTCGCCATGTTCGGTGGTTTCGGTTTTGGTTAACGGCGAGCTTTCTCTCCGGCTGCTGAGCGAGGGAGCGATCCGAACCACCCGGGGCGCGGGGCTTCCATTCGACTGATCGAGGGGCGAGGTGGTGCGCGAGCGCCTCTCTTGGCTTGACCCGGCCGAGCCCAGGTTTTTGTTGCGTAACCGTGGCGACAGGTCGAGTCCGTCCTCGTCGAGTAGGGCCTTGACGGACGCGCTGAACTTGGGCTCGGGCACCTCCTCATCCGAGCTGTCGCCGGCGACATACTGCCCAGCGGACACACTGTGACGATAGGCGAGTGAGTTGCGCACTTCTGGTGAGGTCCGTCTGGATCCTGAGCGAGACGCGGCGCGGGACATTGAACGGGAGGAAGGTTGGCGCTGCAGCCGGGTGTTGTAGGCGGACGCTGCTGCTGCTGCTGTTGAGGAGGAATGAGGAGAGGCCATTATGACAATTGGGGACAAAGTCGCATAGACATGTCCACCAGCGAATGTCCAGGCCTAGGCTCCTCCCAGAAGCACGATTCAAGTACCTGCTGTGAGGGGTTAGTATGTCGAGGTCGGAGGTCGGGGTAGTTTGGTGTTTGTGGTCGTTTTCGGCATGGAAACATTGGAAACATGGAACTTGCGCCGTAATGCGCGAGGCTGGGAGCAACCCAAGTCACGTGGGATTTACCCGTTGCCCCGGGCAATCCTCCCCCAAACAACAATCGGCAGTCTGCACCCTGCACAGTATGGACACACTACAATACACTCCACCAATTACACAGTTTTGATGCAATTTGGTGGCAGAATCAAAACAGCCTGGATCTGATGTACAGTAGATTGCATCAAACTTACTTCTCATCTTGTGGTACTTTAAATGTGGTCGGAAGCGCGAAGTACGTGCTGTACTCTTAGTTTTATATAAACATTCCGGGTAATTACATGTTGAGTGCCCGCAAATCAACATCACCGGCCATGCCCTGGCCCTGCTGCACAACTCATCGTCGACGGTCTGAGCATTGAGTCATATACTTTGGACCAATGGCAATCTTCCTTATATGCCTGTTCGATCATATCTGCATACCCAAGATCTTCGCTCATATAGTACTTAAACGCGCGTGTGTTTGGAGATGACACTCCTGCAAACAATATATAGTTGCAGAAAACTTCCCAAGTCTGCATGGTCCTAACTATGAGCATCCTCACATGTGTGCAATCCCAAGAAAAGATAACTAGCTGCTAACTATGCTCTTTGGCCATGAACTTGATTTTCCGGAGTCAGGATACAAATGAAAACAAAATTAGTATGTGTATACTGCGGCATCTACATCAAACAAATGATTACTGCAACCCCGGACCAGTCTTCCACAATCATTACACACAGGACTCAAGTTCTATGTGTGAGTCTGATTTTGAGGATAGCTGCTCTCGCTCCCACATCCCAGAGTTGATGTATTGGGCAGCTTGTCACGGTGACTACGTAAAGTTGCAAGCGAGCTATGGTTCACCGGCCATGGTCACTGTCCAATCTCCAATCTCCTCAGCAGTCTCTGGCTGTGAACTCAGTCAGATCACATGTCGTGTTCCATCAATCTACAAAGGTTGGCGGTCAAGGGCGCCATGGAGAGACAACAGGAGACAGGCACCGAGAAGACACATATCTTGTCGAGGTTGCAAACAGGTTAGACGCTGCTTCGGGATATCTGGATATCTAGGTTTCCCCCTTCGCTGAATGCGAAGCTGTCCGTCCTCCTTCTCCTTGTTTCACCTGTCAGAAGAGGCTTCCAAGAACAGTCGACTAGCCAAGTTGTCAACGTCAGCCCGACGCGTTTCAGCAAGGCCGCCGCGCAAATCTTCTTCCGTGATATATTTAGCAGAGGTAGAACCAAGTGACCTGCCAGATGGTGTCGTTCTGAGGCACGACATCCTGATCGCCACTGCAAAATCAAATGGTCATAGCTTCTTGTCCGGAGAACAAGCCGCCAATGCTCCTGCACCAAGCCACATCTGGCACACCTGCAAGTATCGAGCATAAGGATGTGACGTGTGACCTACCTACCTTCCGCCTTAGAGCGGACGACGCAGTCCCGTCTCGGATTGCTGAAGTGGATAGGATATCCACCGATGCACACATGCCCTATCTCTTGTTTTGCGATTCCGACCCGGTCAAATCTCGGAAGGGAGACCCACACACTGCTGATCTGCTGAAGCAAGACCCAGGCTGCGAGAACGTCCATTAGTATACTGTCAATGTCAGGTATCAGCATGGAATGTAGCTTAATGGACATTCATCTTCACGAGCAACCGCAGCAGCAACGATTCTGTCCTGCTCGGACTGATAGCCCCTATTTGGACAACAGTACTCCGTAGGAAGCCGCCACGACAGTCTCGTGGCTTATGACATAGGCTTCACTTTAGAGTTTAGGGCTGCCAGGGCAAATAGTCTCAGATCGGTTGTCTGAGAACGATCGATGAACCGTGGAGAGTCAAGGACTCCAGGCTAAGAATAACAGGCAAGAGTCAGTGACTCAGTGGTAGACTGGTAGTACAAGGAGACTAGTCGCAGCTTGAAACATGGCGACGTGAAGGTGGTTCCTCTCCGAACAGGAGAAAAGGTCAAAATCAAGAGCGTACCGGTAGAAGCAAGAAGGCAAGCAGGCAAATCACCTGATATCCCTCCTTCTGTGTCGGACTCTCTCCGTTCTCACGGACCACAACAACCAAAATCCAAATCCATAAGCTTGTCCAAAGTGCTCCGACTACCTATCTACCTATATTAACTATTAGCAACAGCGTACCATCGCGCTTCAGCTTCTGGTCGCCTATTCCATTTTGGATTGGCTCAATTTTCAGTTGCAGGTTGGTTCTCCAGGGGTAACCCGGTCGGATCTGGTCTGGTCAGTCAATAATGTTCAAATCAGGCAACCCTCCGAGGTTCGCTCAAAACTGGGTCAAGTCAACGTCTTAAACCTACACTCCCACAAACACATGACTCTTGCTGGTCCGATTAAAGTTCCTATAGTCCAGCACCGCAGCACACACACATCCTAGCGAATTATTTTGTTCCAGAGCTTGCACAATGGCTGTTAAGATTTGAGATGCGCCTTGACCTTTTGGCTATGATGGTCACAGGTCACAGGGGGGAAGGAAAGGTGGGGAGCAAGAGGGGAGAGGGGCATCCACTGCAGTCTGCAATCCTCTCCGGACTTGTGCTTCAACTAGGGATCGGGTAAAGCGGGCAGCCGGCAGCTCAGGCCATTGGGGCTATTGGGGGCATAAGAGGTCGGTGTGGGGACTGGAGCCCTCCAAAATAACGTAACCAAGGGTATAAGCACTTTGGGTCAGGAACGCCTGTTCGGGCAAAGATTAACCCCCTGCTTCCTGGCTAGCATCGACAACACACCCATCTTGATCGTCGAAAATCTAGCCCGCATTCTACGGTTCAGGTCTCACGCAGATGCATGGCTTTCCAATGGATGGAATTGTTAGATTGTATTTCAGCTCTTGTGCTGCACCCAAGCTTGTGTTTGTTCGTGCACGCTAACGACGGCCCTAGTTTGACTATGCATCCTCAGCTTTCTGTCCCTGACTAGGAACCCGACGCTAAAGCACCGACTAACACGCTAATGCTGCACCTTCCAATGCCTCCACAATTGCTTCCTCCATACCAATGATAACACCCTGGTTGACTATGCACATTACATTACAGAGGCACCTTTTCGTTCTGCTATGGGGCAGTTCGTACTCCATACACACATGTACTAAATTGCTACGAACGCCTCCTTGACAGGAGGTGATTGCCTGGCTTTCCACCACGCTACTCAGTAGAAAGCCACAGCCATGGCTTGTGCGAACCTCTGTGGTGGTAACGGCAGTCCTTCCGCCAACCTGAGGGAAATTGAGGTACTATATTTGGGGCGTCCAGAGGAAGACCCTTATTGACACCGACCACATACTGAGCCGCCAAGTCGGATTATTCAAATTGAGCTCTGAGCTGAGTATTTGGAGCATGAAGTACAGTGCGTACAGTAAATAGAGATAAGATCTATGCTTGTGTTTGTTTGGAATGAGTGGTCCCATTGCCACCCAACGGATGCCTGTGTGTGGCTATGTAGAGTAGATGCATGTTTGCTTGATATTCAACTTGAATTTTCTCTCTCACTTACTGCTACTCATTTCCTTTTCTAGTTTTCTTTTGCTTTTTTTTTTTTTTTTTTTTTCTCCGTTGGAAGTGAAATTCTGCAACGCTCCGGAGAGAAAGTCTGACCAGTCAACTTGCATCTGTCACAAAATCGTGTTGATGGGGCGAGTGCTTGCTTATTCATCTCCCCTCCTCCGACCCCTCCCATTTTTTTGATGCAGTGAAATTTCTTGACTCCTGCGCCTCTTTTCTTATGTCCGAACTCTTGACTTTCAACTTTCAGAAAAGTCCTCCCAAAGTGCCAAAGTGGAGAGGAGCTGGCCTTGATGGGGAGGTTTCATGTTTTGCCCTTTTCCGTGGAAACTTAACCTGCCCCGAACTAAAACTCTCAGGGACAAGACTCGCAAAACACCGGTTGAGATGATCGTCCATGGGTCGTCCATGGTCGCCTTCCATTCAAGCCTGTCTGGTTCCGCTTCTTCCACCCACGATTTGCTAGGCTGCTAGTCTATTATCGAGTAGACTATCCTACTACGGTCTATGCTTGTCGCCTTGTCGTCATTGCCCATCGTAATGCATGCTACTGCATGGCTTGTGATGATCCAACACCATCCAGAGTTCCAGACTCTCAATACTGCATCCCGTGTGGGTTGGCTGTCGGTCGCTCATTTCCCCACAATTCTGTGCCGATGATGATTTCTCGAGCCGACGACGCTGATGTCTGCGAGACTAAGTAGTCGATCGGTGATGCTGACAACACGGATGACGGCTGATGGTCTCCCTCCTCTCAGTCAGTCCCGTTTCGAAAAGCCCACGAGCTGCTGGATTCCAAATTGCTCACCGTTTTTGCTCGGTGCCCTATCTTCAGACATTAGCGTCTTTCATGAGGGGCTTTTGCCCTGACAACGGTGCCTCCTCCACGCTCCGTTGTCCGCCCACCCTCCGAGATGGTGGCTGGCTTGGGGTGCTGTGGCTTACTGGCCTACTGGCCTACTGGCCTAGCCTTTCTTCTCCCCCTGCTTACGGCGTCCACTGCGTGTGCTAGAGAAAAAATAACATGGACGGGAAGGGCCATCTGCGACCCGCACCAAGTCGGAACTAATGCTTTCCTAGTTAGCAATCCCCCGTTGCCTGAAATAGTATTTTCTTTTTGTTTAGTCTGTTTCGGATGAGCCCACATTCAACGGTAGTCGGGTCTGGTTCGCTTCTCTAGTCTTCCACTGGCACCCGGCTGCTCCACTTGGCTAACCTGGTCTCGAAGATCCGGGTCCCTCGATCACAGATGGTCCAACATGCTCTAGCAAGCTGCACTGCTCCATTCGTTGGTTCCAGACTGGGAGTTTGTGCAGGTTTCCACCGGCCCCCGGCCCAGCAGGCACGGGAAAGTGTCCCCCGTCCCCAGGGGTATATATACCTCGATGATGATCACCTCGTTTGAACGGACATCAAGCCCTTTGTCAGTCACTTCCTTTCGCTTGTCGTTTGGGGTTCTGTCTTTCATTTTGTTTTTTTTTACCTGTCTATCATTTACACCTGTCTGTCTGTCGTTAACCTAACCAGGCTGCCCCAGTGCCGGCCATACTCAGTTCTTTCCTTCTTTCTTATTGTTTTATATCGTTCCATCCCGATTGACTCGTGATCGACTTTCGCTATTACCTTATCGACCTTTTCCTGATACCCTTTCGCTTCGTTGGCATCATGCGTTCCAGCAAGCTTCTTCTCCTCGCCGGTCTGGCGAACTATGTTCTCGCTCTCCCCACCAAGGACACCAGGGATCTAGACCCCCGCACTCTTGGTCTCGCCGTCGAGATCCTGTCCGAATTCGGCAAGGACCTGACGACCATCGTTGAAGATATCCTTGGCGGTGGAAGAAGCTCGACATCCGTCCTTGCTGGTATCAGTGCCCGGGCCGCTGCCGCTCTCAACGGAGGTGCCTTGGGTTGCAAGGCCGGTGCGATTGATGCCGACATCCGTGCCGAATTGGCCGCCTGGATCCGCGCTCATGCCGGATTCGAGGCTTCTCTGAAGACTGAGCTCCTCGCCTGGTGTGAGGGTGAGGCTTCAGCAACTCTCTCGACCGAAGTGTGCGCCGGACTGTCCCTGTTCGTTCCTACTTGCGCCAAGACAGCTGCCGCGGGTGACCTTTACGTGACTATTGACGGTATCTTTGATGTCACCACCCTTGAGGCCGGCGTGGTTCTTAGCTCTTCCTTCCAGTCTTCGCTGTCCGCATTCATCTCCGGCTCCGTCGGTCTCGAGCTGGATGCCAACCTCCGCGCTGGTCTCTCTCTTTGCGCTGGTGGTGGTGTTCATGCTGATCTCCACGCCGATCTTGCCGCCGCCTTGAAGGTCTGGCTCAATGGCTCGTCCTGCTCCCTGAGCGCCGAGCTCAAGGTTGCCATCTTGGCCTGGTTGGAGGGCAAGATTGAGACTGGTGTCGTTGCCATCGGTTCCATTCCCACTGGCGGTGTTACTGCCGTCTCCGTTGGCGCCGCCATCAGCGCCTGGATTGAAGGCGAGGGTGCTCTTACCGCGACTGCCCAAGCTTACATCTCTGCCTTCCTTGAGTCCAGTGTCTCTGCTGACATTGAGGCTGATGTTCAGGTCGTCCTCGAGGCCTGTATTGCCGGCAAGCTCGCCACCTCCGTTTCCGCCGATGCCCGTGCGGCCTTGGCCGTCTGGTTGTCCGGTTCCAGCTGCAGCCTGGGAGCCGAACTCAAGGCCGCTCTCTACCTCTGGCTCTCTTTCTCTGTCACTGAAGTCAGCATTGACATCTCCACCAGCCTTATCACTGAGCTCGAGGCCTTCCTTACCGGCACTATTGAGGCATCCCTCGGATCCAGCCTTCGTGGTACCCTCTGGCTCCTCCTTTCCGGCGAGAGCATCGTCTATCTTTCCGTCGAGGCCCGTGCCGAGTTGGCCGCCGTCCTCGGTGGTGCTGTTGACATCGAGATCAGCAGCAGCTTCAGACTCCTCATTATCGAATGGCTCACCGGCTGCAGCATTCCGGGTGCCCCCACTATCACCCCTGGCTCCGGATCGACCACGAAGCTCATCTCCAGCCCATCCACTGCCCCCGTCGCCGCCTCCACCGCTCCCGCCACCCCCACTGGCGCTTCTCCTGTCGGTGGCTCTGGCTCTCCTTCTCCTTCTGGCACCGGCCCTAGCGGTGTCAGCCCTACCGATGTCACCGGTGGTCACGGCTCCGGCTCCGGCACCGTCGGCGGCTCCGGCTCTGCTTCTGCCTCTGGCTCTGTCTCTGGCCACGGCTCCGGCTCTGGTTCCATCGGTGGTTCCGGC